ATTCGTCGCTGCAGCGTTACGGGATGTAGCATTTCAAAAAGCGAAGATCGATCGAATGTAACATTGTACAGGCACGTGTTAATTTTCTGTCTATAAATCACACAAAAGCCCAAATATCTCATGTGATTAGATATATTTAAGTAGTTTACTCATAAATCTTGCCAAATTTTGCTTTGGTTTCTTCAGATTACCAGTTTGTTTATATATTTTGAGGATTGCTGTTAACGATTATTTTGAGATAGTGTTGTTCTTGGAATCGTACATATTATCGATGTTCTGTTATTAAAATAATTCACTACGAGGATTTATCCGAACTTGCAACTAGAAATCCGCGGGTAATATGTCCCCGATTCTACGAACATCTACCCACAGACCTGAAAAGTGTTAGAAACGATGAAACGTTTTGTACCCGACTAAAAAACCTTTTATTGGATATTGAATTGTACAGTGTCGATGAGTTTCTTTTGAAACAATTTTAATTTTATTTTATTCAACAAGCAGTAGTTATACTACTTTATTTTATATTCATTATTATTATTTTATTACTGACGATCATAGTTATCCCTTGACATTGTATTTCCAATTGCAATATTGTGACATTGATAACATGAAATAAACGATTCTATTCTATTCTATCATTTTATTATTATTATTTTTACTATTTCAAGTCTACCTACAAATCAAAAAAGAAAAAATAATGGTTGAAATCATACCGCCGTATAATAGCGCCGAATATAAACATTGAATCAAAGACCATCTTCATTTATTCGCTTCATTTTGAAGAGTCAAATTTTAACATAACTTTAAATGTAACTAGATTACATGATAATGCAATTTCATCATTAGGTTTATTGGTAAATAATTTTATATTTATTTTAGATTAAACAAGACTCATTTACTACGCTTCTCAGTTCCTGTAAACAAAATTATCCACTCGTTTCAGATTTTTTCCCACTGACAACTCTAACTACTAAAAATTCTTATTTTATAAAGCCAGCAATACAAAGACCATATTGGTCTAACGTTGCCGGGTGAAGGTCAATACCAACGTATAGACAGCCTATTTGCCTTGCCATCGTTCGGTGTCAATCGCCTAGCTGACCGAGTGAAGGCGAGCGCTAACGTGTATAGAGCTCGTTTGACATGGCTTGTCAAAACTCGCAGTCGCTCGTGACTACTTGTCTCATTTCGGAGAAGTGTCGATTTTTCTGCATAAATCAAAGGCGCTCGCCCAATAGTAGTCAATTGAAATGTATAATCATTTGCATGCTATTTAATATATGCGAAACATGTTTATACTAACACTGTCTCTTGTTACATATCCTGTTATACCATGTTTTAAGCAAATAAAACTTTAATGATAATAATATTATTATTGATAATATTACTACTTTCATTTATTTCCAAAATTATATGGAAGTATTAAAGATTCACTTAAATCAGTCACTGGTATTAATTCTATACTAATGCATAAATACAAAAAAAGCGTACACTATTTGGAATCTGTTTGAACATTTGTCTTTGAAAAAATTAATCTTGAGGTTGGAAATGTATAGGATTTATATTACAAAGTTTTATCTTTTTTATATACTCTCAAATTACAAATTTTATTTTTTTCTGTGCAAATTCACTTTTTGTAATATTTGAGTATTTGTAACCGCAAAAAAATAAATTAAAAATTTCATGTGACATTTAACCTAAAATATTCCCAAATGGAATATTGATCTACTTGAATTAAATGTTTGCATGTCGATAATGACTTATCGATAGATTATGGTACGAAACTAAAGTAATCTGCCATTTGTTCGTTCAATTTTTATTTAGGGTTGTTTACGTTCATTCCGTAGTTAGGGCAGCCTTTCCTTTCTTTTATTTTTTTTCCATCCTCTAAGGAATCGAAAATACGTAACGTCATCTTAAAGGCCAACTATCCTCATTTTACCATTTTTAGAGTACCCGTTGACAGTGTACAGTCGAAGACGAACAGAAGTACATCAAATGTCAAAACCAATGTTTGGCCAAATCTTTTAGTGAATTATTCGCATGAATTGTAATCAAATAACAAAAATATTGACAGTGAGAACAATTAAGTATTGATTAAAATGCGTCGCTGTGGCATCAAGGGGCGGCGGAAATCGACCGAATGTTACATTACACCAACATGTGTTATTTTTCTGCCTATAAATCATACAATAGCCCAAATATCTCATGTAATTAGATTCATTTAAGTAGTTTATTCATAAGTCTTGCCGTATTTTGCTTTGGTTACTTTAGATTTCCTGTTTGTTAGTTTATTTTGAAGATTGTGATAACAATTATTTTGAGATACTGTTGTTCTTGTAAGCAGACATATTATCGATATTCTGTTATTAAAATAATTCACTACGAAGTTTTTATTATTTCATTATTATTATTTTTATATTTAAAGTTGTTAAAGTGCAAATGAAAAAAGAAAGAAAGAATGGTTTGAAATTATAAGATTGCCGAACATAAACATTGGTTCAAATATCACCTTCATTTGTTGTCTCCATTTTCAGACGTCAAATTTGTGAAGTCAAATTTTAATAGAACTGAATATAACTGGATTAGGGCGCGTTCCCACTATGTCGTTACGTTTTATTATCGTTGGACGATTGTCGTGTCTAGCCTGTTCCCATATCACGACTATCTGTCGTGGACGATTTTTTATCGTTGAACGACTGTCGTGACTAGCTGTTCCCACAAGATCGTGACGACGATTTATCGTTTCACGACAGCCTCCTTGTCGTTTGCACGACAGAATCGTTTGATGCACTGCAGTAACTTGTATGTTCTTTTGAAAGCCGGTAGTGTGTGTTCGCTCGAAATGGATGAAGACGAAATTTTAATAATGTATTACTTTTTAAAAATGCGGAAGAGGAAGCAAACAAAGAAAATACAACGTGAAGTATAAAATAAAACGTGACGATAATAGGAGCTGCGACAATCTGTCGTCACGTTTTTATCGTGACGTTTTATATCGTCCGACAACAGTCGTTCTAGCTGTTCCCACTGTGACGACAGTTTGTCGTTGTAACGACAAAAAATCGTAAACGACAGTTAATCGTGTCGTGTTATATGTGAACAACTTCATTTAAATATGCAAGCCACGACACTGTAAACTGCACGACAATCTGTGGTCACGACATAGTAGGAACGCGCCCTTACGTGATAATGCAATTCCATCGTCGCATGAAATAAATAAATAATTTTATATTATTTTATATTATTATTATATTGTCGCGGTAAATAATTTTATATGTAATTTTGAGTAAACAAGAGACATTGCTAGGCATTCTCAGTTCCTTAAGACCATCCACTCGTTTCCGATTTTTCCCCACTGACAACTCTAATATTATATATTTGTATTATTAAATAGCAGCAGCTGGAATAACTTGTACGTCTTTCATATAGTTTCAACGTAAATGATAACTGACAGCGATCAACGTGTAGGCAGCTACACAAAACTCATCTACAATGGCCGTTTGTAATACTCTTTTCCAAACTTGTCGAGCGCGTAGACAGCAGCACTAGCTATATATCAATTTGCTATATGTCATGCAGCAAACCGTGACAGAAGCTATTTCAACCCTATGCCAACTAAGCCACGGAACGAACTAGCGGAACTTACGAATTTTCCCCATTTTATGAGTGAAGAAATAAATATCTTACAGATGGCGCTACGGCATAAAAGGTGTGAAAAACTAATAACAAAGATCTGCAACAAGCACTAAGAAAAATTCGTAAGATCCGCTGGTTCGTTCCGTGGCTTAGTTGGCATAGTGTTTGTCACGGTTGACTGGAAGACGTTGGTTCAAATCCAGCCGGATCGTAGCAATTTTTTGTAACTGCTCGATCTTTAAGAAACTAGTGGAGTAATTTCACAAAAATAATTGAATATCATGGTGGTCAAAAATCATAACTTAAAAATTACAGACAAAGTAATTTAAAAGTGTGTGTTAATATGTATAATAAAATACCACTCAAGATTAAATTATTAGACTCATGTTTGTTTATAACGAGGTTATGTAAATGATTAAATAATAATATTTTTTGTGACAGGATATAAGATGTAAAATTTTATCTTGATTTTAATAATTCTTGGTAAATTTAATTTGTAACTTGTGACCATTTGTTGTGACATTTTTATTGTTGTGGTAGTTTAATATATGGTTATGTAATATAACATGTTTGTACTGACACTGCCTCTAACTACATCTTCTGTTATACCATGTTTTAGGCAAATAAACTTGCTTATTATTAATATTATATCTGATTTTATGATTATCGATAATGTTATTACAATTATATAAGTAATTTTATTTATTTCAAAAATTAAATGGAAGTGTTAGGTTCACCTAAATCAAAATCACTCATATTAATTTTATACCAATACATAAATACAAAACAGCCTAAACTATTTGGAAACCGTTTAAAAAATATATAATATCAGTCTTTAGATTGGAAATGCATAGAGATCTCCTGATTTACATTATTTTTCGTAATATGTGAGCATTTATAAATGCAAAATAAAGGTAGGGACATTTATTCTGTAGGCAGCTCCTTTCCTTTATTTTTCCATCCTCTAAGGTAGTTTTGCATACAACATGACAATGATATGAATTTTGTGTAGTGTTGCCAGATGGTAACATTTCTTACATTTTTCGTAACTTTGCCCTTTTCGGGTTATATGTAAGTAGTTTTTGTTTTTAAGGCAATTTCCGCAATTTTTGTGGAAATTCATCTACATTTGTTATTGTAAATCCTAAATAGTTTAAGAACGCACGAAAATTGGACAAAAAAGTAAAACAGAGATGGTGTAAATAAAATGAAATTGACTAATTTCTGGCTGCTTGATTCTTCTTGAGTGTACAACTTACATTTTTGTTTTTAGGATTTAGGTGTATATATGGTTTTTACAGTTAGAATGTTTAATTATAAGAATGAACTTGTAAAAATTAAGTTATTAAATTTTATATTACCTTATCAGGTGTTAGAACTGGTTTTTTCCCTTCAACCTTTTCCTTCCATTGGTCATATCTTTTTAATTCATAATCTATTACATCCATGCACAGGGAGCCAATTTTGTACTGAATTATCACTGGGTGGAACTCATTATAAGTTGAAAAACAAAAGAAGGTGTAAACTATATTTGTGCTCAACTCTATGCTCCTTTTCCATTCCTCTCTTAGTACTCTAGATAGAGCACTAAGGAGTGCCTCTGTAAAAAAGAAATATACTTGATGTCAAGGATGTAAAGTGACATGTCTGTGCTTCATTATAATAAGTTCAAGCAGAATGTAACAATTGCTTTAAAGGGCCGTCCTTCACTGCGAGCATTTGCTTGTAATGTAACATTCAAAAGCGCGCATTACAAGCTGTGAGAGAAGGAGCCGAGAATTCATTGCGCAACACTTGTAACATTCGGTAGCCTCCTTCACCAGGAGCATTCGCCTGTAATAATCAGTTCGATTGTAAGACTGCGACTCCCCCAGATATAGTGGAAATGTTTCCAAATCATTACTTAAGTCAGGTGCCCGCAAGTGCCATGAGTGCCTTTGAGTGATTTAGGTAAGACGAAAAATTTTGCTGTGATGATGCACAATTGTGGCAGTACACATTGATTTTAGACATTGATGTGTACTTTACAAAAAAATAGTTTAAAAGAGTCAGAAGCTAGTCTTACTTTACATAACATATAACATTAAATGAATGGAAAATGAAACTTACCATTTCTAGAAAGTTCAATCAGGTTATCCGGGTTTCTAGCAAGCTGTAAAATGAGTGCTGACCCTTTGATTTTCTCTGGAATGTCATCATAGAGCAGCTCAACATAATCATCCACACAATTGAGGACAGCTGCAGGCACGCTCTCCACTGGGCTCATTGTGTCATTATTGGGGCCTAAAATGAAAAACAATTATTTCAAGGCCAAATTGTTTCAGTAATTATTAAAAAATGGGCAAGTTAATAATTACCTACAATTTATAACATAATGTTTGTGTTACCACTAGCACATTGCTTTGTTATGGTGTGATCATGTTTCATAACACTAAGGGGATACGATGATATAGGTACCAAGGTTTGTTGTTACAACAAGAGTTGTTCACGAAAAGGACATTATACACAATTATAGAACCCAACACTGTTTGCACTACAGAACAGGCACTTATTGGAAAATTTATAAAAATAACAGCCTAAATACCCAATGTAATGAATAAAAAATGCTCCCAAGGTCTCGTAGCAACGCAAGTGTGGGCGATTGATTATTTCACCACAAATCTACAGGTTTATTAGATAGCATATCCACATGTTTCAAAGTACGTACAACAAATAGTGACTTTTTCAATGTTCGAACTTGGAGAATCTTTACGGAAGGATTCAAGGCAATATTTCCAATTATATTCTATGAATATATTTAACAATGTAACATATGTAATCTATACGTATGAAAGTTACGAAAAGATTGCGCAGTTTTTAGTTCACATCTTTGGAAATAGTGACAATGTTTAATATGTAAAAAAAAACAAAAAGAAAAACTACATCGCCTGAAACTACACTTTCGCTTACCCAAATCAGTCAGTTGGTATGCGATTTTTTCGTAAAAACAAATTTAATCAATACTAACAAAACAGCTTATCTTTTCTTCGATTTTTAAGTACCTGCTGTGAGTGCTGTGTTTTTGGATTACAAAATTTTAGGTTCTTTTGACAAATATGTCACCACAATAAAGTTTCTGTTACTACACCACCTTTTTATTAAGCAAGTATTGTATAATTGTAAAGTATAGTCGTTGTTGGCTGTTGCTGTAGTAACAAAATATTTTTTGTGATTTAGCTACAAAAACTATTGATCACAAACAAGAAACTTTTCTTGATCACAAACAATGATATCGTTGCCATAAAAGCAGAAACGTCAAACAGTTTTGTCTATGCTGAAACGTCAAAACGTTTTATTAGTTCGGATCGTGCGTAGCGTACATAGAACAAAAGAGATCTAGTTAGTTATATTTCTACTATACTATTTCTGTTTATGCTAACGGACTAACGATTTATGTGGATAATAAATGCATCAGGAATTGTGGTAGATTGTGGATGGATTATGGCACAACAGTGACTAATTTTCTGAATTATTTTGTTACGCTTTATTTATAATTATAAAAACGATTTGGTATTACAGTGTTAGTATCTTGTTCTTTACGTTTGTTTACTGTGCGAATCATTTCGGTAAAGACATTTGTGCAATTAGTGGATTGTGATGGTTCAGTACTATTTCATGTTTTTACTTTCAGCGAGATAAGGAGCAGTGATAATGAGTTAATCTGAAGGTGTCTTACGGCACAAAGTATCCTTGTAATACGGTAATATATACGTCAATACTTAGTAGTGCGGGCGAGGGTAAAATTATTGTAAAGTACCACTAGTGTAAGCATCAAGCCCCTGGAAGTTTTGGTTGTTTTAATCATTCGATTTCTCGTTGTCAAGATCGAAATAATATAATTGCTAATCGTATTAAACTGATATAACTTGCTACTAAGTGCACACATATAAGTGTATATAACATTGTGTACAATTACGTATAGGTATGTCGGTTTATTCTTTGTGTGTTGATTTCATGATAATTGACAATTGTTTCCAGGTATTTGTGTGACGTGACGATGTGGTACAAGTGATAATTTGTATGAATATGAATTAAATTTGCCACTATGACTGAAAGCACGTCCATCCTTACTACTCCTATTTCTCTATCCACATATCATCAACTCAGTGTTACAGGTAACATCTATTATTACCCCGTATAAAAGGTGTTTAATACTAACTTATATTTATAAGCCTTTCACCAGTACAGACAAGAGTCTTCTAAGATTCCCCATTAATGCAGTGGGGTATATTAGAAGAGACTCATCTGTCACAGAAACTTCATAACGCCTTCAAGCTATTTAGTGCCATGACCCTGGGAACAGTAATGACCCTGAAATGTTGATTTATTTGAAAAAAAAAAAAACAAACACAGTTTCATTTTACAATGTTATTCTCTGGCTAACTAAATTCTCTTAACACATTATTAAATGAAATTATAGTTTTCCTTAAAACTGTGGTTATGTACATCCCATATTCACTTTATATTTTTCCTTATAGTTGAATCAGCAAGCATAAGGAACACTGGGCTTTTCAAACCAAACCCATACTTACAATTGGTAATAGATGATAAGATTTCAAGGCGAACTGAAGTGATTAAGAACACTCTACATCCAAAATGGAAGGAAGACTTCACTGTGCTTGTTACCCCACTTTCACATCTGATGTTACGTCTCGCAGACCACCACAGCTTCAGGAAAGATAACATAATTGGAGAGAAGAAAGTCAACCTTCTAAAAATACTCTTATTCTTCAATGGCAAATGTGAAAATATAGAACTGACAATAGGTAAAGTATGATGTACTTATAATTAACATTCTAACACTAACCTTAACAAAGAATATTGTTAAAGGATTGATTGCAAAAGATTGATTAATGTACAATGTGTATTTTTTTTTTTCTCAGATTTGATGAAGGCAGCATCTCAAGACAATGCACCAAATGCCAATGCAGAGGTGAAAACTGCAGAAGTGGTTATTCTTCTTGATGGTCTTAGAGTTGATACATCAGTGCTCAGCCAAGCTCACGAAGTGATGGGAGAATCTTCAAGACCAGGACTGTCTGAAGGAATCCGGGCAAGGCTGAGAATGCGCAATAATGTAGAAACATTGAGAACTGTAGTCCGTGCACCAAATCTGAGAGTGAGTTTTTTCTAATTATAAGTACTTAACATCAAGTAAACTACACAAAATATTTGCATGGGGATATGAGTTATAGTAAATAAATATTGATGGCAGCTATAAAATCAAGCAAATGTTATAATTGCCCAGTGCATTAAATTTTGACATTACTCCTCTGCCACTTAGACATCTTTAGGTAAATGACAACTGATTACTGGTAGACCAACTGTATATACATATATATGAGTGAGTTTTCACACATGAATAGAAAGTATAATCACAATAATAGTAAGTAGCACAAACAAGGCTTTCTCAGTCTTTATTAGGTGAACAGTGTTAACCGTGTGTTGTTGTTATTGCAATTGATTGAATAAATATTTTTAATGTATTATAAATATGTAATAAATTAATATAATACCAAATTAAATTAAATATGTATGTATTGTTTTATATGTATTGCTTTGGGATCTCCTAGAGGAAAGTTGTGCTTGTTTTTATATCATGTATTTTAAAACCCTTACTATATACACTTTTTGACAACGCATACACTCAACATAGCCCCGCACTAGGGAAACCCTGTGTCGCGGGTGCCATGGACACACACATAGACAACCACAAATTACACCCAAACTCACGAGAGAAATAAATGTAAGCCATACAAACATTTCTCCCGGCCCGGGAATCGAACCTGGGACCTCTGCGTGGCAGTCCAGCATGGTAACTGTTCGGCCACGGAGGCAGTTAAATGGTGCCAAGATCTTTATGCTATAAACTATAATATAACTAAAATTGTATTATTATGTATTATGATTAGCCACCACCGGGGCCTCCTCCAATGAGTAATGGAGTTGTACATAATGTGGCGGTGGTGGAGGGCGGCGCCGGTCCGTCGTCTCACGTTCCTGAAGCGGCGACACACGTGTCAGATGTCCCTACACCGGCGCATCCTCCGCAGGCATCAACCAGCACTGAAGAGCCTTTACCGCCAGGTTGGGAGATGCGATATGATGTTTATGGACGACGGTAAGACACGACTTATTGTATAGAACCTGGCAAATTCCCGCACACTTGTATACAAACATCAAGTTTGTTGTTATTCACACTTTCCTTACATTCTTCACATTTTATCATTGATTTGTTCGAATTTCACATTGAGATTATGAATCCTTTGAAAAAGGCAAAGTCGAGCAGGGTAATTCAAATTGACATCTAGAGCCTAATCACTGTTTTTAAGAAAGGATTTGTAATAATATCTCGAGTATCATAGGCTTAATGGCGTCATAGAATAAATTGAATATTACTGCCCATCTTATCGTATTCGACAGTTATCGCGAAATTAACATCTGGAATCAGCAAAATTAGATCTATAACGCTCTATAAGCGGTTATTAAAATATTTTTATAAATTTAGTTTTATTGTTAAGCATAATCAGCGTAATTGACATTTTTCAAAACAATATTTTAGGTGCCAGTATCACGAAAGTCACCAAAATGCAAATTCTTTAGTTATGACAATGACAAGCAGGCCTGATTATAGCCTCAAATGGAGCTATCATAAAGTATAGAAGTCTATAAAAGATTTGTGGTTATTTTTAATTTAGGTACTATGTGGACCATAATACTCGATCAACGTCATGGGAGCGACCGCAACCGCTACCACCTGGCTGGGAGGTGAGACGTGACGCTCGCGGCCGTGTATATTACGTGGATCACAATACCCGTACAACCACTTGGCAACGACCGGACACTGAGCGCCTCGCACGCTTCCAACATTGGCGCGGTGAGAGACGACACGTGGTGGCCCAGGGCAATCAACGGTTCCTCTATCCTCAGTCACAACCGCCGCCGCCGCCACACCAGTCCGACTCTGACCATGATTCTATTGCTACTGGTATGTGTCTGAACAAAACTTTCATTTGCTCTACTAGTTAGTGAAATACGTCAAAACTAATATTTATTTTTGTCATGAAGTGTGACCATCAGTATTTAGTGGCACAGATGTCATCAGTACACATACGGCTACGTGCCTTCAGAAACTGACCTACTTTATCCGAATGTACACACATCAAAAGTGTCTAGGGATCAAGTGAATATTTTTGAAATAAAAATTATTTAAGCAATATTTACCAAATCCAGTCTTCCAGGACGACTTCTTACTTTAATGCTTATGTTTTATTTAACCGCTTACCCCTATATTTAATTAAAATAAACTAAAATTGATGTCTTTGCAAATTGTGGGAAAAAACTCAAATTAACGGCGTCAATCAAATGACAAAAAAATGGCGAAAATGATGATTTTGCTCATTTTTATTGTAAAGATAAGAAAATTAATAATCTGTATTTCCACCATTAACACGAATCACACAATTACAGCGATTTGGCATGCTTAAGATGAGTTCATCAAAATCACTTTGAGGAATGGCCGCCCATGTGTTTTGTAACAAGTCAAAATATTGTTGTAGAGTATGTACGGTATGCATACTTGGCACAGCTCTTCTTTGAAGCATATCCCATGCGTGCTCAATTGGATTGAGGTCTGGCGATTGAGCAGGCCACGGCAGAACGTTGATACGAGCTTCGGCAAGAATGCGTGTTACGACTCTAGCCGTGTGTGGACGTGGGTTGTAATGCATTAGTTGAAATGAATCACCCAACTGGCCTCGCAAAGGGATGATAACATCTGAAACAATCCTCTCTGCGTAAACTTGAGCGTTGAGGTTACCCCTGATCCAAATGAGATCGGTTCTTCCGCCGATCCAAATACCGGCCCATATCATTATTGTTCCCCCACCATATGGATGAACTTCCTGACAATATCTCAAACGTTCATAACGTCCAGATGTTCTCCAAACTCGAGTACGTCTTGTATCCGGTCTCATACCGAAGCGGGATTCATCCGAAAAGCACACATAGCGCCAGTCTTCTTCCTCCCAGTTTCTGTGTTCGCGAGCCCATCGTAAACGGGTCCTGCGATTGCAGGGTGTAATAGGTGGAACTCTGAGCGGCCTTCGGGATCGCAGACCTACTTCACGTAAACGATTTCGAATTGTTTGATCGCTTATTAGCAAGCCTGAGGAGCTATGGAGCCTCGTAACCAACATCATGGCGGTCATGGCACGATTCCGTCGAGCAGTATTTTGGATATACCGGTCCTGTCTGCGAGTCGTGATGCGAGATCGTCCTCCATGCTGCCCGTCATGTGATAGCGCGTCCAGAGGCGACTTATGACGCTCTGTGTAGTGTTAAGAGTGAAAGCCACAGCACGTTGCCTGGAACCAGCTTCCAACATTCCGACGGCTCGCATCATCACTTCTCGGGTTAAATGATGTCGTCTCTCTATAATAATGTAAATTGTTTCGGTTCCGATGCAGATATTGTAATGATTTTGTCAAAACGCTATAACTCATTTTTATACAAAACCACATTGACAATCGATTTTCTTCTTATTATTGAATTTTAAACAATATTCCTTATTTAAATGTTAAAACTCACTAAAAAGTATCAATAGCGATACAAAAAAGTTAATATAATTAACCCTAATTGCAGCAATACTCTTAAACGTACTTGATCCCTAGACACTTTTGATGTGTGTAGTTGCAAGTCTCATGGAAACATCGGGAATTGTCATTGTTAAAACTGTGTTTCTACAGGGTCTCGTTGCTTGAGCTGAAGCTAATGATTTTGTTTGAGAAATATTTTTTAATTGTCTAGTAAACAAAAATAAGAAGAATATATTGTTATCGTGGTATAAATGTGGCCTTATCATATTTCAAATAGTCTTATCACAACAGTATATCAATGTATGCTAATTCTGATAGATAACGAAAATCGGTTTTTGGTATTACCAAGTTTTACGTATATTGCGTAATAAGAATAAACTCCTAAATAAATAGTCTTAAATGAATAAAGTCGTTAAAAGCCAAAAACAAAGATCTGCAAGAAACACAGAAAAGTTCGTAAGGTCTGCTGGTTCGTTCCGTGGCTTAATTGGCAGATCATCTGCCACGGACTGCCTGAAGGCGCTGGTTCGAATCCAACCGGATCTAATGAATTTTTCTAATTGTTCGATCTTTGTTATTAATATTTGTTAATAATTATAAAAACTACTGGAGTAATTTCACAAAAAAAAAATTATATGGTAGTAAAACATCGTGACATTTAATAAACTTAAAAATGTACTCTTCTTATCTAATACAAATACGGGAGCGTCCATAAACCACGTGCCTCCGTTTTGGCCATTTTTAAATGTGCCAAACAAAATCAATGAAAAACTACGTACCTAACTAATTCTGCACAGTGTGCCAGTCAACAGCACAAGAAGCTATACACTTTTGTTGGAATATCGCCTCTAGTGTAACGGAATAAAGTCCATAATGTGTACACAACTTCTAGCCTGATGTGTCATGCTGACTGTACTATAGTGCATTCGCGATAAGAAAATAGTGACTCATCGTTGACCGCCGACCTGGCCACGCCCCCTAGCCAATTAGAATGCTTGAAATTATTAAGTCGAGTTCACAGTGACCAGTTGAAGTCAGACCTTCGAACAAAACGGTTGTGTATCTAGCGTGTTACTCGAGCAATTTGAAAATGAATACCTCACCTATTCGAAAAAATAAAAGTGGATCAATAATCCACAGCGGAGAAAGACGCATAATTTATAATGTTTACAAGTTCTTTAAACGCGACTGTGGAGTGCACAGTTATAAAAACAGCAAGTGCATGCGGTGTGTCCGAAAATACCGTTTACAAAATTATTAAAGAACAAAAGGATACAAACACATTAAAATCACCGGTGAAAAAAAGAGCTCGATTATCCACGGTCGATAAATTAGATGACCTAGACAAATGTGCAATAAGAAGAAAAGTTCATTCAATATATTTAAATAACGACTACCCGACATTGGACAAAATTATGGCACTTTGCGAAGCTGACGAAGATATTCCTGTTTTCAAACGTACCACATTACATAAAATAATGCACGAGCTTGGTTTCGATTTCAATAAACAGGATGGTAGAACATTGTTAGTCGAAAGGGAAGGTATTGTTTTATGGAGGCGTAAATATCTGAGGCAAATAAAAGAATACAGAGAGGCTAATAAAACCATTTACTATCTTGACGAAACGTGGGTAAACGCTGGACATGTGAAGACAAAAGCGTGGTTGGATACAACGGTAAAAAATAAAAGGCAAGCATTTCAAGATGGCTTGTCAGCCGATCGCAAAGCTCCGACAGGAAAAGGTAAAAGGTTGATTGTATTGCACATTGGCAGCGACAAAGGTTTCGTGGAAGATGGTCTACTACTCTTTGAATCTAAGTCTACAAAAGACTTAAAGTTACCAAACTATTAAAATTGTTTTGTAATAAAATATAATGGCTACACTTGATATTAGCGATAATCGTAGAACATCTTTCAGGGTCACACGTACAAGATTCATATTCTAAGGAAATCTATGTCACTTACAAAATCATTTGTTACAATTCCTATTCCTGTGCTATATATTGTATCATGAAGAGATGGACGGTGAAAGATTCCTTAATTGGTTTATTAAGTTCTTAGGTTTTCGCGATTGTTATACATAGGAATAAAACTATTTTTCCGGATTTAAATCGCGTATATTTGTTTTTTCAAACAAACCGACGTTTCGGGCCCTTTACAGGTCCCATGGTCACGGTTGACTGAGGTGGTACAGTCTTATATTGGACAAACAAAGCGAAGTATTTGTACCCGCGTCAAAGAACATATAGCTGATGTCAAACACCGTCGCGTAAACAAGTCTGCAGTCTGCGAGCATGTCATGGATAAACCTACACATTCAATGAAGTTTGACAAACCCCAGGTCCTTGCAAAAGAAGTCCGTTATCTGCCCAGGATGCTGCGAGAGGCCATTGAAATTAAAAAACATCCTAATTTCAACAGGGAAGATGGTTTCTCCGTACCACCAGTTTGGGATCCAGTATTTCCTCTAATGAAAAATCCCAAACAGACATAAGACTGCAGTACTAATTAATATGTTTTAATTTATTCTAATTTCTATTAATAATTAATAATAAATTAAACTTAATAAAAAAAAAATTCATTCAATAAAATAATTTGTAAAACTTAATGTAGCGTAAATTGGAATGTTTTCTTTGTAAAATTAAAAATAAGGTATTTAATTAATAACTATTGTAACTATAGTGAAAAAATAGGGTGGTTTGCATTAATATTAGACATAACTGGTTGAAGACTGTACCACCTCAGTCAACCGTGACCATGGGACCTGTAAAGGGCCCGAAACGTCGGTTTGTTTGAAAAAACAAATATACGCGATTTAAATCCGGAAAAATAGTTTTATTCCTATGGTTTATTAATATAATGCCTAAATTAGAACCAGGAAGTGTGGTTATCATGGATAATGCTCCCTACCATTCGGTGAAAGCCGAAAAAATACCAACAACCATGTGGAACAAGCCGCAAACAATAGATTGGCTGCAAAGCAAAGGCGTATCCATGGACATGAGCTATTTAAAAAAGGAATTATTAATGAAAGTTGCCGAAATCGCCCCACAATATGATAAATATTTAATAGATGAGACTGCTAAAAGTAATGGCATTACAATTCTTCGTCTACCGCCTTACCATTGCAAACTCAATCCAATTGAATTAGTGTGGGCCCAAATATAAAAATTATGTTGGTGCCAATAACTCCACGTTCAAAATGAGTGACGTTAAAAAAATATTAGACGACTCAATAGCGTTAATAGACGCTAATCGTTGGAAGAACTGCTGCGACCACGTGATACGCGAAGAAAATACCATGTGGCATTTGGATGACGTCATGGAACTCGCAGAACAAAATTCTTTCATAATAAATGTAACTGGAGAATCTAGCGATAGTGATTAGTGATTTACGTAATTTTAAGACAATTTGTTTCCATTAAACTTAATTACATTTATTTTTAAAATTTCTTGAAATTTCACTCCACTGTGAATACACCCTTACCCGGCAGTTGCACTGATGAGTCACTATTTTCTTAACGCGAATGCACTATATACTTACCGTAGCTTTTTAATGAGCTACTTTGACAATACGTCACGGGCTTTCTTGTTCAGCTATTAATATGGTACATAGCTAAATGTAAACTAAAACTATATCATTGAACAAACTTAAAATACAACAAGAGTTAGCGCCCAGTTACACGAGGCGAAAATTTTCGCAGTTACCATGCCTTCATGTGCATTAATGGCGAATCTGAATTGTATTTATTAGGCAACAACATTTAAATTCCCCTGAATAATACAACCGCGTTGCCGCCGCGTAGACCAAATTACCGCGCGGCCTCGTAGACCACATTCAAGCCAGCCTCGCCCGAGTGTCCAGGATGCTCATTTAAGTTAAAACGTAAAAGCCAAACAAATAGAGCGTATTTTGCTATGACAGTTAGACGCACGCGGTCGCTGCGCGGCGGCAACGCGACCTCCGCTCGGCGACCGCGCGGCCGGTGAAATTCGTGTCGAATAAATGCGTTTTACTGTTTTTCGATTTCAGCCACAAGAACCAGCGTTAGTGGGGCTCCAAGTACAGGCAGTGCACCGACATCGAGCACTGAAGGCGTGCCAGGGGTGAGCGTCAGCGTGGCCGCTGCCGCTAGTGCCTCTAGCGGTAACGTCAGTACCGCCAGTGGCAGTGACGACGCTCTAGGCGCGTTGCCTGCGGGTTGGGAGCGTCGAGTACAACCTGACGGACGAGTCTACTTTGTCAACCACAAGAACCGCACTACACAATGGGAGGACCCGCGCACTCAGGTTTAAACATTACTGTCTCTTCAAGAGATCGCAGATTGCAAATCCTCTATATAAACCACTTTCTACTCACACCATTGACTCACAACCATTAACTACTTTGTTCACTTAGATGAATTATAATAAATAGGTTATTACTTAAAGTTGTTTAGAAATGTTACTATATTCGAAACAGAATTCGCAATATTGTCGTGTTTTTTTTAATGGATCCTGTCACCCAATAATAAGCGAGCGTGCTAGATAACCGCGAAAAAGGAAATTTCTTTGGCTGTATACAGGTGTCCCACGGCTATGGGACATGGAGAAGAAGTACTTTAATTATTGTAGTTAGGATATTTTGCTTTATGAAGACATTTAATATTTTGTTTTTGAAAGTACTACTGAATTTAAAGACTTTTGAAAAGTAGCTTGCCTCATCTGGGAATCGACCTGACCAAATGTGAAAAAAAAAAACATACTGTATTTTTATGATGCCGATCGAAAGGATCATTTATAATCTTTATAAGTAACATATATCTTAAATGAAAGGGACACCATGAAATTTTATATTTACGCACCCCTAATGGAAGAATGGCATAAGTAGAGTTACGTCAAACATGTTTATTGCTCCTTTAGATACAGAAAAATATAACCCACATTCTCTCCAATTTATGTAACTCTATCTACAATATTAGTCGCTAGAGTTACAAAAATTGACACACAAAAAAACACAAGTTACAAAAAGTCTTTCTTTATTCTTTTGCAAAATTTTTTTGAGCGTGGCCACTTAAATGCGCCGACGAAAAAAAAATACGATACAGCCGTAATACAAAAGATAAAAAAATGGTGGAAAAAAAAAGTAGTGTATGAATGCGTGCGTTTCAGGGTCAAGAGATGAGCGCATTGGAGGAGGCTCTACCTCCGGGCTGGGAGATTCGCTTCACGGAGGACGGCACGCGCTACTTCGTGGACCACAACACGCGCACCACCACCTTCCAGGACCCGCGGCCCGGCGCCCCCAAGGGTCCGCAAGGCGCCTACGGGGTGCCCAGGGCGTACGAGAGGTCCTTCCGGTGGAAACTTAGTCAATTCCGATACCTTTGTCAGAGCAACGCTCTGCCGAGCCACATCAAAATTACCCTATCGCGACAGACGCTTTTCGAGGATTCCTATCATCAGGTAAAGTTGCTAAGTTGAGCATTTTATTTGCTAAGTTGAGTATTGATAACCATCGTTAAATATTTATCAAATAATACAATTTTATCTGTTTCTTATCGTTTTGTCGCTCACTACAATTAATTGTGGAATGTATGTTTAATGTATACTTTGTTACAGATAATGAGGCTACCAGCGTATGAGTTGCGCAGGCGACTGTATATCATATTCCGGGGGGAGGAAGGGTTAGATTATGGAGGTGTCAGTAGGGAATGGTTCTTCTTGCTATCACACGAAGTACTAAATCCTATGTACTGTCTTTTTGAGTATGCTAACAAGAACAATTACAGCCTACAGATCAACCCAGCGAGCTATGTGAATCCTGATCACTTGCTTTATTTCAAATTCATAGGAAGATTTATAGCAATGGCTTTGTATCACGGTAGATTTATCTATTCGGGATTCACGATGCCTTTCTATAAGAGAATGTTGAACAAAAAGCTGACGATGAAGGACATAGAGTCCATTGACCCGGAGTTCTACAACTCTCTTGTGTGGATTAGAGACAATAATATAGACGAATGCGGACTGGAGATGTGGTATAGCGTAGATTTCGAGGTGCTGGGGCAAGTTATACATCATGAACTTAAACCCGGAGGCGACAAGGAGAGAGTGTCTGAGGTAAGCACAAAGGAAACTCAATAATTCGATTTAAACATATTTGAGGGATATTTGTAAAATATTAACAACCTTGCAAGACTATTACTAACATTATGAACAACAACTTTGGTTCGATGACTTTTTATAAAACAATGTAACAGAAATAAAGTTTTAAGTTTTTATTTATTTATTTATTTTATAGATAAGGTAACACACACAGTGACACACACTTAACATAGCCCCGCACTAGGGAAAGCCTGTGTCGCGGGTGCCATGGATACACACTTAGACAACCACAAATTACACCCAAACTCCCGATAGAAATAAACGTAGGCCATACAAATATTTCTCCCGGCCCGGGAATCGAACCTGGGACCTCTGCGTGGCAGTCCGGCGTGGTAACCGTTCGGCCACGAAGGCAGTTAAATTAAAGGTACATCAACATTAGTACATATATAATTGGTTAAAGAATATTTATTTCTCTTAAGAATATACATTCACTTACTGAGAAATTTACTATATATAGATAACAGTGTAATTTTACATTAGTATTGTACTTATATGTCTACATATTACAGACGTACATAGACTTTTTAACCGATTTAAAAAAGGAGGAGGTTCTCAATACGTCTGTGTGTTTCTTTTTTTTGTATATAGGTTACGCGATGAACCGATTTTGATTCTTTTTTGTTGGAAAAAGGGTACCAAAGTAATGCTTCCATTTAAATTAGATGAAAAATATTAATATATGAATTAACAAATATTCCATCTCTAAGGGTTGCTAATTAGGGGATGACCGTTTTGGCGCACTTTTCCGGTGACCGATTCGAATTAAATTTGGCATATAGACGTAATCCCACGCACTTTTGAGGTCGGTTTTTTTTAGTACCCTGTACTGAGGTTAAGTTTCTGTTGACTGCTTTCTGACACTTACAGACTAGATCTGTATTTGATAGTAAGTTCAAACATACAAGCGTCCTCTCCGATGACACCCGCTTCTGCGTTTTGCATCGGTCTGGTATTTGCGCTAACGCACAGAATTACCACAGTTTAGAGTGATCTATTTATACAATTATATTGTTGTATGGATGTAAAACCTGATGAATTATTAAAAGTGATGGAGCAAAAGTTGTTGTTCATGATGTTGGCAGCCCTGTTACAAGTAACCATGTATAAGATTTTTAATTGTACCATTGACTTTATAATGCCGCGTTCGTAACGTTAAACTAATAGCTCTTTGATATTGTACTCCTTAAGTATTACAATATGCTGTAAATTGTACGAAGTGTAATTACATGAATACTGACGACCTCTCGGTGGCTTAACGAGATCCGCAGTTCAATTCCCGGGGGCCAATATGGGAAATGTACTATTCTAAATTTGTCTGGTCTAGGTGTTCTTGGTCACAAGAACTGTTTTCAAGAAAGGGTATTTGTAATATCGAGATATGTGTCATCGAACAATTGAATATTACGCCTTCAAACGGAGATTTTTTATATACTATTAGAGCTCCTTGTTCGTATCGGCAAGTACTGCCACCTTACCTACTTTTGCCGCCAAGCAGACATGTGAGCATTACTGTGTTTCGGTTTTGAAGGGTAAGAGTGCTGGTGAAATTACAGGCACAAAATGCGACTGTTATGGACAGGCGTGTTACTTACCACCAAACGCAGGACTGTTCGTCCTGTCACTTAGTATCATTAAAAGAAAACTTATATTTGTTATCAAAATCTTCGCTTATTAAGTATTGTAATACCGTCCTATAGATTAACCGTTAACTTTTCTAAAGTGCAGGCCGATTCAGAACCTTACGATAACTATTGTCGATCGATTCGATTAGATATCGTACGATTTCTTTTCAATTTTATTCACAATAACCGAATCGAACGTCAAACTGTCGTATTCGAAACCGAACCGAAATGACGTCACACTCGTACATTACTCGTACTTCTCGACCGGCAAAGGCTACATACGTTATTCAGAAGGCTACACAGTTATCGAATGAAAGTTACCGAACGTACTATTGTTTACAAAGCAAGAATGTAATAAGGAAATCTTTTATTATTTTAAACAAAATCTGGATTTTGTTAAATTTTATTATTTATTTTAATGCGAGACTAATGCATTCCTATATTTTACGCCTTTAAAGTCTTTAAAATGTATATAAAAGGATTTCATTTTTCTTGTAATCTATATTCGCCGACTAAGAGCGCGTTCCCACTATGTCGTCACGTTTCATTATCGTTAGACGACTGTCGTGTCTAGCCTGTTCTCATATCACGACTATCTGTCGTGGACAATTTTTTATTGTTGAACGACTGTCGTGACTAGCTGTTCCCACTAGATCGTGACGACAATTTATCGTTTCACGACAGCCTCCTTGTCGTTTGCACGACAGAATCGTTTGATGCACTGCTATCGCTTGTATGTTCTTTGGGAAGCCGGTGGTGTGTGTTCGCTCGAAATGGATGAAGACGAAATTTTAATAATGTATTACTTTTAAAAAATGCGGAAGAGAAAGCAAACAAATAAAAGAAAGTTTTGGGTACATCCAATGCTACTAAAATGAATTCCATTAGGGTTATGTCAAACGTTTATTGATGAACTGAAAAGTGATGATAGAAAATTTTGGGACTATTCAAGAATGACAATTTCCACATTTAATGACTTGCATGTAATGTGCTCTATTACAAAAAAAAACCACAATGTATGATTAAATTTGAACAAAACTCAATTCACAACAAATATTTAGACGTAACTAGTTTTTGCCTATGATTTCGGGTTTTAACCCTATTTAAACCCGGCGTTAACAAAGCGCCGTGTTAAAACCCGGGCGCTTGACCACCTCTGGCTACGACCCAACGCTACTGCAAAGCGAGCAGCGGGCGCGGGGTACGAGAGGGGAGGGCAGGGAGCAGAATACGTGCGTACAGCAATAAATGAAACGTGACGACAATAGGAGCTGCGACTATCTGTCGTGACGTTTTTATCGTCTGACGACTGTCGTTCTAGCTGTTCCCACTGTGACGACAGTTTGTCGTTGTAACGATAAAAAATCGTGAACGACAGTTAATCGTGTCGTGCTGTATGTGAACAACTTCATTTAAATATACAAGCCACGACACTGTAAACTGCACGACAATCTGTCGTCACGACATAGTGCGAACACGTCCTAACTCCGTAAACGTTGTTGGATAACGATATCGTATCCGAATCCGAAACGAACGTTTTAACTCGAATGTTCTGAATAGCTCGGAAAGCGCCCTTCGATTCGAGTACGATATCCGGTTACTTACGAACGACTCGGTTAATATATTGAAGAGTTCTGAATCGGGGTCCTGGTCGGGTCTGAGTGTTCTGGGTCACTATCCACTGGGGCAATCTCCAGAGTGAATTCCATCACCATTGCGAAATACTGTTATTTGCTGACGACACATCCTTGATTTTAAAAACAAACAGACATGACATTAACTATGACCATATTAATGATACCCTCTCTAAGGTAGTTTATTGGTTAAATGCTAACAATTTATTGCTTAATGCTAAGAAGACAAAATTTGTTAAATTTGAATTACCTAACGTAAAAACGTCCAAGCATAGAAATAAACAGAGAAAAGTTAGACCTTGTTAATAAAGCAGTCTTCTTGGGAGTGACCTTAGATAATCAACTTCAATGGTTTCCACATATATCTTCCCTGGTCAGCAGATTAAGCTCCGCTGCATACACAGTCCGCAGAATACGTGATCTTACCGATGTTATTACTGCTAGACTATTTTGTTACTTCTATAATATAGTATAATGTTCTACGGGATTCTCATGTGGGGTAAAGCGGCAGATATACAAACCATATTTGTATTGCAAAAACGAGCGATTCCTTCTGTGTACCGTCTAGGCTTTCGGGTTTCTCTCAGAGAAAAGTTTAAGGAGACTGGTATCATGACTGTGGCATCACAGTACATTTACTGAAATATTTTAAATGCCCGTAAAAATATACATAATTTCAATACGAAAGAACATATCCATAATATTAAACTTAGAGCTAAGTCCAAACTCATGGTACCACGATTTCGATTAACTTACGTAAACGATTCTTTTATGGGGAACTGTATACGTTGTTACAATAAGATTCCGGAATATGTATTAAGATTATCATTTCCTAAGTTTAAAAACTACATTAAAAATGTTTGGTTTTTGAACGATTAAAAAGTCGTTGAAAAACCAAATACAAAGACACGACAACAAGCACATAGAAAAATTCGTGAGGTCCGCTGGTTCGTTCCGTGGCTTAGTTGGTATAACGTCTGGCACAGTATGCTAGAAGACGTCGGTTCGAATCCGGCCGGATCGAAGGAATTTTTTCTGTGTGTTTGATCTTTGTATTAATAATTACATTAAAAATATTTTGATTGAAAAGTCATATTACAAAATTGAAGACTACGTGTTGGATAATGATGTATGGAAAGACGACATGGCTCCAGAATCCACACAAATTTGATTCAAAGTGTATTCCATAGCATTTAAGTTTATTTCAAAAGAGCAATAGCTAGTTTCTAGCTCGTTTCTTCTCAGGGAAGTCAACGTAGTGAACGAGCAGTAGCTTAAATGTGACGTTTTCAAGTGTAAATTTATTTTACATATGGAATAAATGATTCTTTGACTTTGACATCGTTCTATGGTACTCTAGTACTGAGAATCTCCTTGTTTGAGACCAAGTTATTGGTGTGGTCTCTTACATTCAGGCGAGTCACCAGAGGAGAAGCGGGAAAATCTGTTTTGCTAGATCAAATTGTTTAGGTATTCACTATTAAATAACGGTATTATAAAAATATACGATACTCCTAAGGATATTGTTTAAAGAATGTACTTATTCGTTACACGATAGGATCATATATAGTCCTGAAAACAAGCTAAAATAAAAGTATTAAACGAATTATTTAAGAATAAAATATCTAACTTTGTACATAATTTTTATAGGTACATTTTTCACTCTAAATACTACGGAGAACCTGCTGAATTTTGGTTTTCAACTGAAGCCCTATAGTTATTAAAGTCACATTTATCCCAAAACTTAAAAATTGCACAGCGTTTTAAATAAATAATACAAAATAAAATAAGAATCTCAGATTTTTCAAAGGTTAGTTGGAAGAAATATCTTTATGGGATAAGCTCGCCTTTGTACACAAATATTTAAATTGTTTCTGAAATGAAACTATTTTTCCGGATTTAAATCGCGTATATTTATTTGTTTTTTAAACAAACCGACGTTTCGGGCCCTTTACAGGTCCCATGGTCACGGTTCACTGAGGTGGTACAGTCTTCAACCAGTTCTGTCTAATATTGATGCAAACCACCCTATTTTTTCACTATAGTTACAATAGTTATTAATTAAATACCTTATTTTTAATTTTACAAAGAAAACATTCCAATTTACGCCACATTAAGTTTTACAAATTATTTCATTGAATGAATTTTTATTAAGTTATACGCGATTTAAATCCGGAAAAATAGTTTCATTTCCTATGTGTAACAATCACGAAAACCTTAAGAACTTTATTTGTTTCTGAAAATTTGTAAGTTATTTTGTGGTACAATAAGGTGTTTAAATAAATAAAAAGTTGCTTTATTTAGGTATACAACCATCAATAAATTTAGCATTACTTATTACATTACATAACAATTAAATTGAATTTTATTAACAGAAAATTAATATTATTAATGAAGTAAGTAATTAAGAATTAAATTAAATTGAATTTACATTACAAATAATAGTATAATTATAATTAATTTACTTTTTTTTTATGGAGTTTTCGCTTACAAAGTAACACATATCTCACACTGTCCTTACAATGATATTGGCCGAATTTCTCACTCTCGTAAGAAAATACCAATGTCTTTTTCGTATTATGGCGAAAAAAATCATTAGGCATAATGACACGCCGCCGCTTTGCCCGCTGCCCTGTCAGTCGCCATCGGCTCTGTGTCAAATTTTCTTCGCCTGTTCTTATTTAAGTCGTATTAATTTTAAGCGCGCGGATTGCGGGGAGGTCCCCCACACCTCACTTCCTAAAGTCTACTCTCGCGTTCTAATACCTCTTCCTAATATTATTATTTAATTCCCCAGGTAAACAAAGAAAATTACCTGCAGTTGGTTACTCAGTGGCGCATGACGCGTGGTATCGAAGAGCAAACTTCAGCGTTCCTTGACGGATTTAACGAGGTACGTATTGTTTATATTGAACTCGTTTAGATAAGAAAGTTTTCTCAATGCGTCTGGGTTGGGTAGTTCCCGGAATATTTATCGCTACTTACTACTAAATTACTATTACTATAAAAATATAAATATTTTCTCGCTTATCATTATTTACCTTTCGAGTATTTGTAAATTTATCGCACTCGGTGATGGTCGCGTCCGTTCTCCTTAACATTAAAAAGTTGAGTATCTGGTTTTTAACATTAAAAAATACTTCGACATTTTTAATTAATAAATATTTAAAATTAATGTATAGTATAATGTTTGTTTTCCTTCACTAATTAAGCATAATGTGATGTACTAATTTAATGTAATTATATTATTACAATGTCCAAACTAATTATTTTAATGAGCGAAAGTAAGTTCTGTCTTTTTCGTTTACACGCCTAAAGCGTTGATGCAATTTTTGATGAATTTTGTTATTGAGATAGATGAGACCTAGGACAAGGAGATAGGCTAATTTTTGTCACAAAAATAAATAATTAGGGGATGAAAGTTTGTATGGAAAACAATAAAACTATGAAAATGGGCTACTCAAAGTATTTTTCTACGTATACGAAGTCGCGGGCACCAGCAAGTTTAATGTGTTTAATATAGTAGAGCGTCAAAAGTCCTGAGCATTTAAAAGCCTCATAGATCCGTTGACGGTCGCCACTGCGACCATGAGGAACTGCATATGCCCATGGCCCCGAATGAAGACACCCTAATAATTATAATAATAATTGTAGGGCGTCCCATGTATACCACCAATTAATGTTCCATCTGTAGTTTGAAATATCATATGTAATAAACGTTTACGTTGAATTGAATTGAGTCATCATCATCAGTAAATAACTTTTGACTCACAGCACACTCTACCACGAGTTTACTGAGACAGTTGTCTCTAGCGACTGCGTAAATAACTTCACATTTTTTTGTATGGCAAATTATAGCACCCCTAGCAGTCTTAAGAAGAAACAACATTTTGTAAACAAATATTTTACGCGGTCACTAGCGATAACTGTCACTGTAATTTCATGGTAGAGGCACTGATTCCCATTTATTCTAAAATAATTGTTTCCGTGACATAAAAAGCGGTTACACCACGGCGAATTTTAGCAGCGATGCAGTCGCGGTGGAAACGAATGAATTAATTATTTTATTTATTTAATGTATTTATTAATGTCACTTTTAAATTTACAATTAACAAAACAATATGATGTGCATAAACCTATTCAGATTTTTCGTACATAATTATTCAACATAAGCGACTGTATGATGCAGTCGCGCGTTTGCATCGATGCAATCGCCTACAAATCGCAAGTGTAGTTTAAAGTCGCCGCGTGTAACCACTCACAGACTGAGAAGGAACTTTTTAACAATGCAATGGTGCCACTAGTGCTTGTGCTGTCAGTAAATTAAATAACTTCGTTAAAATTCCGTCAGCGTGTGAGGGTCCAAATTTGGTGCGATACTTCCTGTACCACACTACGGTAAAATAGGTCGTTTTGCTTTTAATACTAATTCAACTTTTTTTTAGGTTTTCGCGATTGTTACACGATGAAACTATTTTTCGGGTCCAAAATGTCACGTGTAACGTTGATTTGATTGAAAAAACAAATATATGCGATTTAGACCCGAATAAATAGGTTTATTTCCGACAAATTCATAATTTAAAAAGTAATAAATTGTTCTAGCAATTAAAGAGTTGTATCTACGAGGCTAATAAAGTCTACAGCTGTACAGCTGTAGACCTTGTGTACGCTGGCCGGTCTGTTTAAAGAGTGAAATATTTGGAAACAGGAATGTTTCTGCATACTAATCGTGCTATATACACTCTATCGCTATGTTAATTTCGTAAAAGTTTTCAACCGTATACTACAAGAGGATAACTTTTAGTAATTTCAGTTCAAAGTTCTAAAAAAACTGACCTCGAAAGTTCGTGGAATTACATCTATTTGCCAAGTTTTATTGAAATTGCTAACCGGAAAGTGCTCTAAACCGAATTCAAAGTTTGCCACCTTAGAGGTGGAATACTTTCTTAAAATTTAAATGGGACCAATACTGAGGTACCATCATTTCAACAAAAAATAATCACTTAAATCGGTTTAAAAAGGCTAAAAATCGGGCTATCGTGTAACATTTTTGTAAAGTCGTTAAAAATTGGAAAATTGAATGAAAGTTGAAAATTAACACAACATATTTAAATGACACTATCAACGATTTTTAGGTGGTACCATTAGAATGGTTGAAATATTTCGACGAGCGCGAGCTGGAGCTGATGCTCTGCGGCATGCAGGAGGTGGACGTGGATGACTGGCAACGAAATACCATTTACCGGCATTACACGCGCACAAGCAAACAGGTCACGTGGTTCTGGCAGGTAAATAGCGTAGACTGCGCAACGCATTTTTGTCCTCAATCAGCATTGTACTACGTTACAGCTCACTTTCCCCTTATGGCTCAATAACTTTACTTACGTCATTTATGAAATGACGCGGGTCGGTAGACATTGCTTGTTTTTAATTAAAAACTAGATTATGAACAGTCCTCAAGACAAGATCGTCTCTCCTGATTAAAAGTACTAGCATTGAGCAAATTATTCAGTTTGTGTTTTCGGTTTATTTATTTACACTCAGGTTACATAGACCCATAAATACACACCTTATAGGCTAACATAATAATTAATAATATAAGGAAACAATTAATTTAATTATTTGGAGTAACATTTAAATTTTTTTTAATACACATATTTTTTACACACAATTAATTACACATATCTAAACTATAACAGGTAGAGACAAAAAAGTAAAAAAGTTTATGAACAGAAAGTTTCCTCGACAGCCGTACCCAGGGGCATTCCCTTTGAATTTCTAAACTTATTCTTTAGCGGAAATAACTGCCAGGCTTGTGGTCACCGGAGGCTTCTACGAGGCGACTCTATAGCTCGTACGCTAGATGTTTCGCCTGTGGCCCCTAGGGACCCACCGAGGGGTTCTGCCACTGCGCCCGGCACCCTGAGACATAAGTTGACAAGTCTCATGTGCCTGTAATTTTACCAGCTGGATTACCTAACGTAGTTGTATGCCAAGCTGAGCTAAGAAAATACGTAATAAGTGGTGACTATGGATACTTGCGGGGGTGAAAGGCGGCAGAAGGGCGATGTATTTTACATAGCTACCGGGATCTTTAGGTTAGTTTAGTTAGCTTAGTTCGCGGTGTGAACTGAAGTATGAAAATATGCGCCGGCTACGTGAGCTAAGCTAAGTTAGCTTCGTTCGCGGTGTGGCTTCCGCATTAGAGTTACCGTAAGGACAGTTTACTTGGGCAAGCTTCAACGCGAGTAAATTTGCACGGGTAACGTTTTCTCTCTTTCTTTGCCTTTAAGGACTAGTGAAAGACTCGCTCCCGGCAGTAAGACGGGTAATATACGGGTGGTCTCTATCAGTCAATAAGGACACAGGGCAAAATACAATACCGTAGGTTCATGTCATAATGTTCAACAGAGTATTTCATACTGGCATCCACGGAAGTTTCAGTTCAGTAACAATTATTCTACAATCTTTTGCTTCAAGGCACAATTCTTGTTTATATTTAAAAGTGATCTGTTCCTCAGTTCGTTCGTCAAGTTGATAACGAGAAAAGAGCAAGATTACTTCAATTCGTCACAGGCACGTGTCGGGTACCCGTCGGAGGCTTCGCTGAACTTATGGGGTCCAACGGGCCGCAGCGTTTTTGTATAGAAAAGGTACTTGACGATTCCCTAACTTAACGATTAATTATTTCAATAATTCTGATAGAAATCAATCAGATCAACTATTGTATTTTATTTTCAGGTGGGGAAAGACACGTGGCTGCCTCGTTCACACACTTGCTTTAACAGACTTGATCTCCCACCCTACAAGAGCTACGAGCAATTATGCGAGAAACTTAATTTCGCCATCGAGGAAACTGAAGGCTTTGGGCAGGAATGAGAAAAAGCATGTGTACTATTAGTGATATATGTAAATTATTATTATACCACATTAATTTAATTGCACCACCTCATTAAGAGGACTTATTCACCAATGGAATTGGTGCTGTTATAATAAAAAAGACCAACCAAATACATGTATGAATATTTTGTTTAAACATTATTATGTAGATATCATTAGTGTTTTATGTCAGTTGTATAAGAAATATTTTGTTTGAACTACATTACCTATATTTAACAACGGCGATCTCACACTACGCCCGGGTACGTTCACTTAAGAAAGTTGATTCCTTGTCAATGATCTCAATCTGAATACTAAGACCAGCCTTTGTAGAATAGCGTTTTGTGAGAGATGTCCACGTCGAAAGGTTCAATAAAATTATTTAAAAACTAGCGCCTTTGTATTAAATCTTCCATCAAAATAGAAAAGATAAATTACCATACAGAAGGGCAATAAAAGAGTAGAACTATTTTATTTTTTTATTAATTCCATAAAAACACACAATAAATACATTAAATTATATACTTGACATTTTACTTAAATGGCCACATAATCGTGCGTTTGAAGATTGGAACTAATATACATTGAAAATCGACTTGAATAGTGTAAAATTAATTTCACTTTCAACTATTATATTGTCAGAAAATTAACAAAGTTTCGAAATAGCAAACTCTCGGGCAATTTTCATAGCTTCATTGAGACAGCTTGGGTTGCTTCCAGAAGCTTGAGCAGATTCTGCCTTTCCTCCACCTTTACCATTAATTAGTGTAACAATTGATTGTACCCACTCCGACGCCAATAAACCCTTTTCAATTGCGTTTTTGGGGACTGCAGCCAAACAGAAGATTTTATTGCTATCATCGTCAACAGAGAAGAAGATAGCTGCTGTGTTTGGACATAGTTGCTTCACCTGTTTTAGAGCACCATCTAGGGCTTTAGTGTTACCGTACGCTTTCAATTCAGCAACAATAACATTAGAATCTTTTTCTTCAAGGCACAGTTCTTTAGCTTTCTCAGTGACGTTATTGATAGTTTCGGCCTTTGCTGCTCTTTCTTTGTCATCTAGTTGTTTTTTAAGATTCTTAAGCATATTTCTCAACTCATCTTTTTTCCAATATGATATTTGGGCATGGGATATATCATTTGTAAGATCAACAATTTTCTTAACAACATCCTTGTGGTTAATATTGTCTCCTTGTTCTTTTATGTAACTAGCGATATTATTAACTTCATTTTCCAATACGCTAAGTTTATTTATGGCTTTAATTGCTTCTGGTCCTGTTAGAGCTACAATTCTTCGAATACCTTTGGCGATACCTTCTTCGCTCACAATGACATATTCGCCAATGTGGCCAGTTTTATGTAGGTGAGAGCCACCACAAAATTCTACAGATGTTTCGACTCCCAATGAACCTTCGGGATCTTTTAATAGTTCATCTACTGATATGCCGACAGATACTACACGCACAGGATCTGGGTAGTGCTCGTCAAACATGGCTCTTAGACCATTAATTTTCTTTGCGTCACTTAGTCTGGTGTGCTTAGCATAAACTATTTTATTTTCATTAATGATACTCTTGATTTGATCTTCAGCATCTTTGATCTGCTTAGCAGTCATAGGTCCCTTATTAGTAAAGTCAAATCTAAGACGATCTGGCATAACAAGGGAACCACGTTGGTCAGAGTCACTGCCGAGAACTTTTCGCAAAACATTGTTTAATATGTGTGTTCCTGTGTGGTTGTTCATTACAAGTCGTCGTCTTTCTGTGTCGATATGCAATGATACAGTGTCTCCTACTTTCAATATACCTTCGACTTTACCAGTATGCAGTACATATCCAGCTTTTACTTGTACATTCTTTACTGTAAATTCAACACTATCATCATCTATCTTCAGCATATAGCCTTCATCATAGATTTGGCCACCTTGTTCAGCGTAGAAATTAGTGCGATCTAATATAATACCACATTCTTGACCAGAAGTAACTTCATTTACAAATTGTTTGTCTCTTCTAAGTGCAACAATTTTCCCCGTGCAAGGTTTAAATGTGTAAATAGCATCTTTCTCAGTGGATGATGATACATAATCATACTTAGGTGAGTCATCAGTTACTGGTACTCCAGTTTCTTGCAAGTGACTAAGGTCATGTACATCCAAAGCCAATAAATCTTCTTGTCCGGCTGCTTTCCCCTGAGAAGCAAGTAGAGATTCTTTTTTGGCTTTCTCATATGCTTCCATATCAATAGTTAACCCTTTTTCTTCACACATCAGCAGTGTAAGATCTATTGGAAAACCGTAGGTATCATAAAGTCGCCACGCGACATCTCCTGGCACAACTTTTGAATTACCGAGCTTCTCAATTGTTCTATTTAGCAGATTTCTACCACGGGAAAGTGTTTTTAAGAATTGAATCTCCTCTTCATTGATAATTTGAATTATTGTGTCTGGATCTTTTTTGATTTCAGGAAACACACCTCCTAGAATTTCTACTACAGTGTGCACCAAAGAAGCAAAAAAGCCAGGCTTAGCATTCAGTTTTTCTGAAGCATATCTCACAGCTCTTCTTAATATTCTACGAAGCACATACCCTCTGCCTGTGTTATCAGGGTGTCCACCATCAGATAAAGCAATGGTTAATGTTCTTGCATGATCAGCCAAAACTCTGTATGCCATGTCTATACCATCAGCATCTTCAGTACCAACTTTACCAGAATAAGGTCTAGCTCCAGTGCCTTTTTCAATGGCTTTAAATAAAGGCATAAACAAGTCGGTATCATAGTTGGCTCTTTTATTTTGAATTACCGACACCAACCGTTCAAGACCCAATCCACAGTCAATGTGTTTTTTAGGCAATGGTTTCAGTGATCCATCACTTTCTCTGTTGTATTGGATGAACACCAAATTCCAGATCTCCAACACATCTGGGTCATCCATATTCACCAAGTGTGCAGCCTCACGCCCTCCAATCCTATCAAAATGTAACTCAGAGCATGGACCACAAGGTCCAGTTTCTCCCATTTCCCAAAAGTTGTCTTTCATGCTACCAGGCAGTATATGACTTTCCGGTAGCCCTAAATTCAACCAAATGCCCTTACATTCCAAGTCTGGTTCAAGACCAGATGCAGCATCTCCGCCAAAATAGGTGACATACAATCTTTCAGCTGGAAGCTTGAATACTTCTGTTAAAAGTTCCCAGGCCCAGGTACAAATTTCTTTTTTGAAGTAGTCACCAAAAGACCAGTTACCCAACATCTCAAAGAAAGTATGGTGATAGACATCTTTTCCCACATCATCCAGATCGTTATGCTTACCTCCAGCTCTGATGCATTTTTGACTGTTTACTGTTCTCACATATTGTGCCATATCAGAGTTAGGCTCCACTGTTCCCAGAAATATAGGCTTGAATTGGTTCATGCCAGCATTAGTAAAAAGCAGAGTTGGGTCATCCAAGGGGATTGTAGATGAGGAGTGAACATAGACATGTTTCTTTTCAATGAAGAAATCAATGAAAGCCTTTCGGATCTGGCTTCCAGTCATTGATGTATCCATCTTGCCGTTTGTTCTGAAATACAATACATATAAAATAAATAAGAATGTTGCATCATGTTTTATGAGTACTTCATAATGACCTTAAAAAACCATAATAAACTATAAAATATTACTTGTCGTTGATATGAAATATATTTTAATATATATAAATTTATTGTTTAATATTCTCTAAAGTTAGTAAATACTAGTAAGTAGCTAAGCAAAAGTTCTTTCCATATGGTAGTGATTTTGCCGCAAGCTGTTAGGCTAATTAAAATTCATTGAGAAGTGGTACTTCTTAAATCAATAAAAGTAAACTAAAACAATTGAGACATCTTCTCAGGCTGAGACTGTATTAGCTTTACGGTATAGAAATTACGAACTATTTATTATAACAGATTAGAACGTATTTTAAACTAGAAGTACCGAGTTAATTACAGAAATGAAAGTAGTCAATATATGAAGGTGATCAAGATATACATAATGAAACTTACGTTTTAATCCTAGTGAATAAGAGTTGACCTTAAATCCTAAGATTTTCTTTTCCTTACAAAAAAGTGGTAACAGTTTTGCTGCACTAGTTCTCACTCCGGCAGAAATTCAAAAAGAATTCGACGACGATGACGTGACATGTGCTTGTGCTCTCCGTGTGCCGCATACACATTAGAGGTGAGTGATAAATAACGTCACGATGAAAAAATCACGATGATCCGCCGTCAAACAGTATCACCGTGACTCGTTCCGAAGGAACGACGTTCCAAAGTCACATAGGTGTTCCTCCGTTCCAATAGCTATCCCCGTCACTCACATCACGACATAGGTATTTGATACAATGCGCGATCTCCGTTCCGTGGTGACTGAGCGCGCCACTCGTTGTAGTTCTCTTCAAATCGGGCCATTTCGGCGATGGTAGTGAATGAAATAGGATCACTTTCTTTGCTCACTCACAAGGGTCGTAGGTGCTTATTACTACTAGAAAGGGTGGATGAAAAAAATCTGCAGCAGTTATTATAAACCTATTTATGAACAAAGTAACATATTTTTGTATATTTACACCTGCCTCCGTGGCCAAACGGTTACCATGCCGGACTGCCACGCAGAGGTCACAGGTTCGATTCCCGGGCCGGGAGAAATAGTAGTATGGCCTACAATTATTTCTCTCGTGAGTTTGGGTGTAATTTGTGGTTGTCCATGTGTGTTTCCCACATGGTTTCCCTAGTGCGGTGCTATGTTGAGTGTGTGTGTTATTTATTTATTTATTTATTTATTTGTTTTATTATAGGAAGAGTTGGTATTTTATATTTATGTATAATCTACTTTGTGTATTCTACTAGAAATATAATTACATTACATTTTATTGCTATTTTTAACAATCCAAAGATTCGCATTAAATAACAAAAACAAAATTACATTAAATACAAAATCAACTTTATGAATGGAATTGAAACTTATTACAAAGGGAGCAAAAACTTAAATCATTCTATAACAAACGGCTATAAGTATTAGAAAGAAGCCGCTGGCTAAAACCGTATATTGTGATGTAAGTTATAGGCGTGACAAGGTCACGGAAGTAACAGTCATGACAAAATCACGATGATTTATCACTGTGATTTTTTTGGAACCGGACGACAGTCACGGCGATAGAAATGTAACACTATTCATGTCTAGTTCCAGAGCGAATCAAAATAATTTGCCGAAACCCGGGAATAAATACACATACACAAACTTACTAGGGATGCTAACCACATGTGACAAGCAGCAGAAAAACCGATTAATACGATTTTCGTCGAATCGATTCGAGAAGAGCGTCAAAATCATTATAGTCTTAATGAAAGTCGATTGTAAAAGAAAAACGAGGCAGCATTTCTACAGTACTCTGTATATACAGCATTTCTGTGCTGTATTTACAGCATTTCTGTGCTGTATTGTGCTGTAGTGCTGAATTTTACAAACTAAAAAGTGTTGAACTCATTCCAATTATTTTATTAAATACGTAACTAAGGTAAATGCACCGTACCCGGCACCGTCGACACAATGACAACGGTGACAAAATCTATCGTAATCTGCAGGAGCTGGATTTTTTGTAGCAAAGCATAGTAAAGGAGGTGCGAGATCGATGTACGCGGTTAAATTAATAATAACCTTTAAGGAAATCTTTTGATGCAGCAGTCTATCCAAAGGCATAGGCAAATAAGCGTCAATTTTACGCCAAACTAGGAAATGTTGAAAAGATTAAATCAAAACATTTATAAAAATTAAATATTTGATAATTGTTGTTTTATATAAAGGATGAGATTTATATTAATTTTTACCAAGGTATTCCCCTCTTCATTTTTGTAAATGTTTAGATTTTTTTCTTATCATAATTGTAATTTTCCTCTGTAAGTAGTAAAAAGTAAATTATGCACTAAAATGGTTTTTTTTTATTAATATTTACTTAAGTATAAGATAAAGTAAGGTAATTCATTCTCATAAAGGTTACTCTCACAAAGTTAAATTACTATTGAAAGTATAATAAATGAAAATTATACTTTTTTTTTATAAAAAATAAGTGCGTATTTGACCCCCTTCTCACCTGATGGAAAGTGACGATGAGGTCGAGGATGTAGCATGCACACATAGATAATACCTATTCACTCTCGCCTCGAAAAGGTCCAAGTCATAGCGTTCGGGGAACAAGTCTGCAGGCAGGGAATTCCACTCCCTCGCCGCTCGACATATAAATGTGGAAACGAAACGCTCCGTGCGAATCCGGGGAATATCCACAACATAGGGGTGGAACCGCCGTCCATGTCTAGTCTCCCGATGATGGAAAGGGGAAGGCGGAATCAAATTATGCAATTCTATTGTACACTCTCCGTGATATATCCTGTAGAAGACCGATAAGCTTGCAACTCTACGGCGGTGCTCAAGGCTCTGCAGCTTCGCCTCTACTAGTACTGAGTCACCTATAAGCATCTTAGCACGCTTGTCTATTGAATCCAAGGTATCGCCCCATTGACTTATGCATCGCCCCAGTCCTTAGGGGTTGGAAAAAAATAGTTTCCATAGTCTAAGCCCCAATCGGAGACTGCCTTAAGTGTCACATTCAAACAACTAACCATGGACTCTCGACAAGACTGGATTACCATAATTACATTGTTTTTTTTCCTGGCCCAATCGTCGTAATTTCTTAGGATCTACCTTAGTAAGTCAATGGATCTACCGTATTTTACGAGCAGAACAACCGTCGACCAGATTTTGGACATGGCAACACTGTTTGACATCGACATTTTCAATAGGATTGCGCCTAGATGGAACTGTGTATTGATCTTATAGGATGGAAAAAAAATTGATAGATTTATTCTAGTATAGTGTAGGTCAATGAGTATATTTCAAATTTCATTTTAACGAATTAGTGTTCGGTATTCTCAGGATATCAATAATTATGAGATAATTAATTATTAGGATATGAAAAAAAGAAACGTTGTGGATTAATAACCGGCGCCTTCACTATTATCAACTTTTGTGCTTGGAACTATCAACTCACCGTGCGTCGGTGTCATCTCGTTCAGTCGGACGTGAAATAAAGTGGTGTTCATGTAAAAAAAAATATCGATATTTTATCCGATGTGATACATCGATTATTTGCGATATATCGGTATAAAACATCGAATTTTCGATATATCGTAAATAATTCTAAAAGATAAAAGGAAGAAAATTTTACTAAGAGTAAATAAGGAAAACCACCAGTTTTGACACAATAATCAAGTATTTCTTGAATTACTTTTGTGATACATGCGATTGAGTATTTGTTTAAACGAGCTGACGTTTCGGGTTCCTTGTAAACGTAACGGTAACAGTCTAAAATTCATTAGATGTAGTGACAAGTCGCTAAAACGGCAACACTGCCCCAATCATTCAACGAACGACGATGGCGCCTCTTGTCAGGCAAAATATATTTAATTTGCCTACACATACCAAATCTTTTAAACAAAAGAAACAATTTTTTTTTTCAAAAAAATTTTAATAAAATACAAAGAAAGAAATTAATTTCTTTACGAAAGACAGCAAAGGCTCTGATCAACGGCTAACCGCACACATACAACATTTGGAGCTCTGAGTGGCACTGCAACTGTTATGGACAGGCGTGTAGCTTACCATCTGGCGCATGACTTGTTCGTCGCGTCACTTGATATTTTTAAAAAAGTTGACAATCTTAGGGTCGTATTCTAGAACTCTAGTCAATGCTCAAGTCAGGACTTGAATATGATTCAAACCACTAGAAATCATACTCAAGTCCTTGCCACTATGGTCGTATTTCCTGAAATCATACTCAAGTCTGCTCAAATCCTGACTTGAACATTGATCGTATTCCAGAACTCTACTCAATACTGAAGTCAGGACTTGAGTATTGCAGTGGGCACTGAAAAGCATACTCAAGTCCTTGCTATTAGGGTCGTATTTCCAGTGCTTGAAATCATACTCACGTCTGCTACGATCCTTAGGGTCGTATTCTAGTACTCAATGCTCAAGTCAGGATTTCAGTATGGTTTAAAACACTCGAAATCATACTCAAGTCCCAGTCAGTCAGTCCCAGTAAGCATTGAGTACAAAGTACTCAATACTCAAGACAGGACTTGAGTATTGCAGTGAGCACTGAAAATCATACTCAAGTCTTTGCCATTAAATCCATCAAGTCATTGCCATCAAGTCTGCTCAAATCCTGACTTGAGCATGATTTCAAGCACTGGAAATACGACCCTAATGGCAGGGACTTGAGTATGATTTCGAGTGCTTTAAATCATACTGAAGTCAGGACTTGAGTATGATTTCAAGCACTGGAAATACAACCCTAATGGCAAGGACTTGAGTATGATTTATAATGCTTTGAATCATACTCGAGTCAGGATCTGAGTATGATTTCAAGCACTGGAAATACGATCCTAACGGCAGGGACTTGAGTATGATTTCGAGTGCTTTAAACCATACTTGAAATCCTGACTTGAGCATTGAGTAGAGTTCTAAGTTTATGTATGTTCCCAACACAACAATATCGCCCGCACACAAGCAATATTATTGTGTGTATGTGCGGCTAGCCAATGAAAATACAACCACTACGTTACACTGACGGACGACCAGCGAATTAGCACTCGAAGTGCGTTTCGTTCCTGCAAGTACAATTTTGGATTCCGTACTTAAACGTAAACTTGTACTTGTACTTGTACGATTTTTCATGTATCAGATAAAAGATATCGATATACCGAATGATAAGAGCATTTCGGATTGATTCGGTATATCGAGGAAATATAGGTATCGATATTTTTTTGAATATCGATATGTATCGAGCACTCCAGTATGTACTTGGTGTAACGGGTGGTGTCCGCAACTCGACGTCAATGCGCCTATTTTGTGTGTAATACAAATGATACCCACAATTTTCTTTACAACGTCTGTTACTTATTTCTTTAACTCAAGACATTCTCAAATATAAAACAATTCCCAGTACTGTACAGAGAAAACAAAGCTCACAAGTTTATATATTGTAATATTTGAAGTTGTAAATAGCACCTTTAAAATAGTGTAAGTTGTCTATATTTAATTTCTTTTTTTAACTTTCATACTGTAGTAGTTAGTTTTTTTTAAATTACATTTATAACTCTGTAATAATTATAATAATCCATGTTTAGGACTGCTTTGCCAAAGCCTTAATAAAAAAAAATAAAAAACAAATGATATGAGTGGTCAATTTGTGAAGAGAAAAAAAAACGCGGGAAACTTCCGAAACTGGCGGGTGCATTTTTCCTGGTTTTAGTGGTTTTTATTGTTTTTGCGGGATCAGGAGAGTTCTGTTTGTATTTATTGTACATAATCTTTAATTTAGTACCTGTGTAAATATTTGTAGTGTATATATTTTCCGCTTCGGGTAAGTTTTTCATTTTTTAACATGGGCGACGAGCCCCCCGATGACCCTGGAGGAACAGTGCCTTCAGTGGGCCTAAATATTGAAATATCCTCGCTTGAAGCTAGTGCAGTAGATACGGAAGATGGTGCCCGTAGTGAAGATGGACGCAAAAATAGGAAACGCATTAAAACTTCCCGTAGACATTCTGAGGAAAAAGGAAAGATAGTAAGGGTAACTTTGTCGAAAGCTCTCATGATGATATTACAGAATATAATGCGAATATTAAGTATACGGAATTTGTTTCATCCTTATCTCAGGATAAGTTAACAAACGTCACTGTTTCTAACAAACCTTCTACTCAAATTCCTCCCACTCAGCCTCGGTCTGAATATAAGAAAATATGAGCGCACTGACATCAGTCCTTATGATTTCACGTAGTGAGACAGTCTGCTCCCGAAGAACGTGCTTCTTTACATCCAGTGCAATTTGGGAACATTCTTAAAAAAAATTCAGTTCCAAATATAGTGAATGGAAGTTTAAAACGTATTGGACGAAACAGAGTTGCTCTAGCATTTACTCGTTTCGATGATGCTAACAATTTTATTGATAATCCTTGTTTAGAGACTCATAAATTAAAAGCTTTCATTCCAACATTTACTGTAACAAGAATGGGCATTGTACGAGGGGTCCCTGCTAGTTGGTCAGAGGAGGAAATATTGGACAATGTTTCTGTGCCTATAGGATGTGGAAAAATAATTAAAGTAAGGCGTATCAGACGTAAAAAAATCGAAAACGGGAATGCTGAATTTACTAATACTGAAGCTGTTGTTTTAACTTTTGATGGACAGACTCTACCAAAAAAAGTGTACATGTGCTATACAGCACTAACTGTAGATTTATATACATATCTCACAGTACAGTGTTTTCAATGTTGTAGATTTGGACATACTAAATTATATTGTAGATCTATACCACGTTGTTACAAATGTGGTAATAATCATACGGGTGATACATGCACAGTTGAGGAGGATGGTGCTTCTTGTTGTTTATGCTTAGGTTACCATTTTGCAACTAGTAAGGCCTGCCCAGAGTTTTCTAGGCAAAAACAAATAAAGACTTACATGGCTCAAAATTGTGTATCATACTTTGAAGCCTCAAAATCATATCCACCAGTAACTAAATCTTATGCAGATGTACTCAAATAACAGTCTACACTAATTCACTGACACCTGCAAAGGTTTCTTCTTCAGCCTCTAATAATTCTTACAAAAGAACAGTTTTCTTAAAGCCCTGTTCTCCTCCAAGACAATCTGGTGGTTATGACCAATTTGCTCATGCACAGTATGCTAATGAATATAATATGAACATGGTTTCTTCTCTTTCTAATGGTTCTGCATATAAAACATCTGATAACGATAATGACCAATCTAAATCGGAATTGTCAATTATTGAAATTATTACAGCTCTTATTAACTATTTAAGTAAATCAAATCTTATAACACCTAATGTACCGCCCAACGTTGCCCCTACCATCTCGAAATATATTACTACTAACTTAGTTCTCCAATGGACCACCGATTAATACAATGGAATTGTAGAAGTATCTCGAATAAAAAAACTGATTTAATTTATTTACTCAACAATATTGAGCCTTGCATTCTTTGTCTGTCTGAACCATGTTTTGTTTAAAGCCACAATATTCCTTTAGAGTTTCTGGATTTTCAGTTCTTCGAAAAGACAGATCTGATGGGTATGGTGGAGTCGCCATACTTGTTAAAAATTCTCTTTCCTTTCAGTCTTTTCCCTTACCTTCTTTCAGCGATGGCATTGATGCCGTCGCTGCTATTATTAATAATATATGTATTGTATCTTTGTATATACCACATCCAACTTCCTCTCTTCTCTCTGAAATTAACAACTTAATTCCTATTCTTCCTAAACCATTTCTTATTCTAGATGATTTCAACTGCCAACACCGTTCTTGGGGCAGTTCTTTTTCTACATACTATGGGGACATATTATTGGATATACTAGACAATCAAAATCTTTGTGTCTTAAATACCGGCTCTCCCACAAGAATGACTGAGCCATCTGAGGGTTTCAGTGTCCCAGACCTTTCAATTTGTACTCCTGGCTTAACATCCACCCTATTCTGGTCAGTCTTCTCTTCTCCATGTGGTAGTGATCATTTTCCAATAATTATTACTTTCCCGTGTTCCTCTCATAGTTGCATAAAACGTAGTCCCCGTTTAAAACACAAATTGATGATGATTGGAGTATTTTTAAAGATAGAGTAGACAAGAAAATATCATCTTTACCGAATATACTCACTGATAGTGTCTCAGAATGTTCAGAGGCTCTTAGTAATCTCCTGATAGAAGTTGCTGATGAACTTTTCGCTTTAAAAATGCCCCAATCGTCGAGAATCCCTTTTCCACCTTGGTGGGACAGAGAATGTTTGGATGCAATTAAAAAAAGAAAAGCGGCTGAGCGAGTCTACCGTAACGCAATGACCGCAGAAAATTATGAAGTTTTCAGCCAAATCGCACGTGAGACCCGTAAGCTGCTTAAGAAAAAGAAGTTTGATGGCTGGAGGCGTTTTTGTGTATCTATTTGTCCTGACGTCCACCCAACCATTGTATGGCAAAATATAAGAAGGTTTAGGACTGGTACGAATACTTCACCTCAGTGTTTTCGTTACCTCCAAATTTAGCAAGCATATTTCTCGATAAACTTGCTCCTCCTTCGGTTCCTGAGTCAATTATAGCACAATTCCCATTTCCTCAATCAATTGGTAGAACAGGTCTTAATGCCCCCTTTACTTTGTCTGAACTGAAAGGCGTTTTAACAAAAGTCAAAGATTCTGCCCCTGGTGAGGCCGGGGTTCCATATTCCTTTCTTGTTCATAGTAGCGACAACACTCTTTTATATTATCTAGATGTAGTTAATGGCGTCATGCTTTCTGGGATAATTCCACCATCTTGGAAATCACAGTCTATCATAGCTATTCCTAAACCTAATAAACCACCATCTATAGTGTCCTCTTTTAGACCGATTGCCCTTTCCTCTCTACTTGCTAAAATTGCAGAACATTTAGTTAAAAATAGATTGGAATGGTTCTTAGAAAGTAAAAACTTACTTTCATACAACCAATTTGGGTTTAGAAAAGGTAAAAGTACTATTGACGGTATTAGCATTTTGGTTACTGATATTCGCCTCGCCTTTACTAATAACAAGTCAGTACTCTCGGCATTTCTAGACATTAGTGCAGCGTACGATAGCGTTATTATATCTGTGTTGGAAAAGAAATTATACGATCTGAATGTACCTGTATTACTTTCAAACTTTGTAGTCAATATGTTGTCGGAAAGGCGCATCAATTTATATCTTGACGACGGTTCTGTTATGTCCAGGCTAGTATGGAGGGGACTTCCTCAGGGATCTGTACTTAGTCCAATTCTTTACAATATTTATACCTACGACCTGAAAGTTGCTCTCCAGGACAAAGTTGGAATTTTACAATACGCTGACGATTTGCTGTTGTACGCATCTGATACTAACATTCCTAGAGCTTGTAATATTTTGTCCTCATCTCTTAATTTTTTAAGACTTTGGTTGGATGTTAATGGACTTTGTCTGTCTGCTTCAAAAAGTGTAATAGTCTTGTTCTCTAGGATGCGCTACCCACCGAATCTTGAAATTTTATATGATTCCATTCCTATTCCAGTTAGACTTCAAAATAAATTTCTAGGTATTGTACTGGACTCTAAACTCACTGGTATTTCTCACTGTGAATATATTACGGCTAAATGTGAACGTAACCTAAATATTCTAAAATGTCTTGCCGGTGTCTGGTGGGGTGCGCATCCTTTCTCTCTTAAACTTGTTTATAATGCCATAATAAGGAGTGTATTGGACTACGCCACTTTTCTGTTGGAGCCAAGTTGTACTACGGCATTTAAAAAGTTAGACAATATTCAATCAAAGGCTTTGAGAATTCTGTCAGGTGCTATGAAGTCTAGCCCCATAAATGCATTGCAGGTCGAGTGTGTAGATCCTCCACTTCTATTACGACGTCAGTTTTTGTCTGACAGGTATTTCTTTCGATGCTTGCAACTTTCAAATCATCCTCTTCTATACAAACTACAATGTCTCTCTCGAAAAATAACATCTTCTCCATACTGGACTCGAAAATCTCTACCAAGCCTTGTCATTAGTTTTCACAAATACCTTGCACTTGAAGCCCCCACTTATCAATATTCTCAGTATCCTCTTTTTTGTTATACTTACGAGGTTCTAACTTTAACACCAGATATTCGTTTGGAATTAATAAAAGTCATTTTGATGCTCCTCATTCTTTACGCTTAATTACTGAGAGTGATTTGATGGTTGGCATTATTTATTTAGTGACGCATCAAAACGCTCTCTTGCTGGAAATGTTGGAGTGGGAGTGTATCATCAGCAATCTAAAATAGTCCAAAAGTTAAGTTACCACCTGAAACTTCTGTATACACCGGAGAATGTTTTGGTTTGTTTAAAAGTGTAGAGTTTATTCTAATAGCTAAGTTAAACAAGAGTATAATATTTTCTGACTCTATGAGCGCACTGCAATCATTGTCCAAGTTTCCGTTTAGTTCTAAACTGATTTGCCCCATTATATTAGAAATTAGAAATTTACTTTATCAGTGTACAATAAAAGGTTATTCTGTAGTGTTTGCTTGGGTGCCGAGTCATTGCGGCATCCCAGACAATGAACGCGCAGGCCAACTGGCGGGTGAAGCGATTGATTGCGGTGATCTAGCATTTTTTACTAATTACTGTCATGATTTAGATGCTGATACTGGCAGGAATTTTGGAGTGTTAGCAGCCGTACGAAGGGATCGTTTTATGCGAGTATACAACCCTCTATTCCTACTAAGCCTTGGTTTTCAAAATGAAATTTGGAAAGTTGGCCACAAGTGTACTGATTCGCATGAGACTGGGGCATGTGTGTTCTCCAGCCCACTTAGCCAAGTTTAAAATTATAGACAGTGACCTTTGCGAGTGTGGAGAGATAGGTGATCTAAATCATATTGTACTCAACTGTCCTTTATACGATCATTCCTTTTTGTTCCATGTCCTCATCGCCATTGGATTCCCTCTTCCTACTACTGTAAAGCTTATTTTGGCATCTAATAGTCCTATTATCTATAAATGTTTCGCTTCGTTTATAACTTTCAATTGTATCAAATTACAAATATGTAGCTATATTACGTTTGTCACAAAATTGTTATGTTTATATTTTATATGTTTGTATTCCTATTTAACCTTAATCGCACTTCCCTGATCCTTTCTTCCAAATTATTTTCCCTTTCCATTGTTTTCCATGAATAAGTGTCCCCTTTTGCTGTGGCACAACGCAAACCGCGAAGTGCCAGAAACAACAAAAAAAAAAAAAAAAATTGTGAGGTTATGTCTAATTTATTTCGTCCGAGGTTGTTTTGGTTTTTCTGAATTAGGTTATTCTATTAGAATTCTTGTGCCGTTTTACTGTGTTAAAATAAACAGCCGGCGTTTGAAATAACATGCGGACTGCATGTTATGCTTGATTTTTGAAACAAGGCAGAAAAGATGAGCACTTGTATCAGTTGTGTAAGAATCGCATTGGTTTGTAAAATTAATGTAAATATTAGCAAACGAATATGTAGTGGTGTACAAAATTATAATTTGCCAAGTATTCTAGGCAATTTGCAGACAGAAACTAATAAAATAAATGTATTGGAACAAGTTAAACACGATGTATCAGAAATCACACCATATTTTCCGAAGTCATATAATCTTGCTGCGTATGTGAACATATCAGAAACACTAAAAAACTTAGTTGATTTAAATGTGAATTTAAGTAAAATTGAGAAGAAACCATATATAGCTGAAAAGATATTAAAACTTGATTTTGAAAAAGATATTAAAAAACAAATTTGGTTTCTAAAAGATTATGTTGGTGCAGAAGAAATTGGAGGGTACATTACAACAAATCCTTTGATACTATGTGAACCACTAGAAGATCTTGAAATTAGAGTGAACTATCTTAAATCCAAAAGATTCTCTGATAACCAAATACAGAGAATAGTTTCTCAGAATCCATTTTGGTTGATGTTTAGGCAAGTATGAATTACTCAGTGTTTCAATATTACAATGAAATTTCATAAGGTATCTAATAATTATAATTTACATTTTTTAGTACTGTAAGAATAGACAAACGTTTAGGGTATTACCAAGAAAAATTCACTTTAACTGGTCAAGAAGTGAGATTTTTATCAGCAAAACAGCCAAAACTCATCACATACAATTTACATCACGTCAATACCAATACTTTTGTTGTCAAAGAGGAAATGGGTTTCAAGGATGATGAAGTTAAACAGTTATTATTAGCTAAGCCCAGAATGTGGATGTTGAGTAAGTGTAAAGAACTTATATTACGCTCTCTGGTGACACTCTTAAATTAGATGTGGGGAAAAGAAACTAATTAATACTACTTTAATTTCAGATCAAAAGAATTTATTGTATAGATTCAACTATTTACACAATGTCATGAAAGTACCTCATAGCACTCTTTTACAAAATCCAGGAGTATTAATGTGCAGAAACTTCAAAGTGAAACAAAGACATACATTTTTGGAAAGATTAGGAAGAGCTCAATATGATCCAACGAAAGAAAACTTTGTTCCAATTATAGCTGTAGTCGAAGACACTGATATAGAATTTTGTAAAAAGTATGCAAAATGTAATGTTAGTGATTTTAATACTTTTTTGAAAACATTGTGACTTGTTTATCCAGCTTTACCTAAAACAATTTTATTGCCAAATGTGTATATTGAATGGTAAAGTAGTGTATCAACGATACCAGCTACTGTAAAAACTCCTCCGACAATTGCACAGATGTTTGTAGCAAAATGACCAATGGACCTGTAAAAATAAAGAAAACATTGGTTGTCTCGTACAGTCAAGAGTATAATATTAAGCTTGACACTGGACTTTGAACTGTTCTTTTCAATATTATATATATAAATCTAAAGTGACAAGCTTGACAGATCTTAACCTTGACAAATGGATGTATAGTATTAAAATAAATTTTATCATTACACTTGCCTTTCTTTCTCAGTATATTTCACCATTAGAGGGGAGAGTTCATAACTAAAGAATATTCCAGGCATACCAGATTCTCCATTACTTATTGACACTCCTTTTTGATGTCTTGTCACAGAGAATTGATTTGTGAACGTTGTTGTTTCATCCAGTTTCGAATATACTGTCGGCACAATTTTTATGTAGTACTGGAACATTGTAGCTCCTGAAACCACATGTCTGTGACTAGACTGAAAGTATTTCGTTGTTTAAAAACAAAAATTATCGATATTGTATGTCAATAGTTTCCTTTTGTTTTGAAAAAAAAAAAAAAAAAAAATTTATTTTTTTCAAAAAATTCGCGGGAAGTCTAATTTGGCGTACAATTTTTATAAATTATAATTTGCAATCGGCCGCTAACTCATTAGCGAATCTTTTGAAATAGATAGGTCGTCTTTGGTGGAGCGGCCAATGCTGCACCTCCCAACTATAGCACATGACCTCGCATAAGCCCCTTGACCATAGTTGACAGGAAAAACGTTCTTTATGGCACTTATAGGTTCATTCCGAGTCAACCTCTTCCGTGGAGTCAACCAAGGCGCATTGCACAGGATGTAATTCTGAATTCATTGACGACAAAGTATATTTATTACTCGTGCTAGCCATATCCTATAGCTGAATACCGTATGTCCAAATAGGTTTTAAGACAAAGTTGTAGATTAGAAGTTTATTCTCTTTACGATGCTCTAAGTCTATAAGTAATGATAATGCTCAATTCCTTCCCATGTGGGTTTCAAATTTTAAATTGAGATCATTACAGTCATTTGTGTATTTTTTATTTTCTCTTTCTTTTATTTGATAAAATATTTTTTTGTAGTTAGTGCAGTTTTCGTATTTAGGTAAGTCTTTTCATTATTATGGGGTTGATGGACCGTGGTGGAGGCTCTGGGTCTCCAGTAGCGTATGATGTTGAAATTGACGATTCATCAATGGACACTGAAGACGAAAGTCTTCCTATGCCTAACCGTACATAGTTAAATTCCGAAAAAAATTGCCGTCATTGTATTAAAAAATCGTAGAAAAAGAGATGACAAGCCAGTTTCTTAACACTATGGTCGATGTGTTCTTTGCTGAAGAAGAATGTTCCAAATGTAAATTACCCGGTGTTGATAGGTATGCCGACATTGTTTGTGTAAATAGAGCTATGTCCTAACAATATTGTAACAAAATGTAGATAATTCTATTTCAATTTGAACGCCGCGCCGTGGTACGAACGAACTGATTTAGCCCCAGACGTAGTACATGTTCAGAAAGAACAAAGTGCAGTTGATGATCGTGTTACGCTCCATCCTGTGCAATAAAACATTGTAAACGGAAGCTTAAAAAGATTAGGTCACAATTGTGATGTTTTTTAGGCTCGATGTTTCTCGCGAGTTATAAAAAATAAAGCTGTGAATATAATATGAAATGTAATTTTATTTATTATCAATTCGTTATTAATTGGCGATACATTTTTTGAGGGTTCAACAAGAACAGGTAATGTTGTCTCTCGTGGTTTCGCCATGTTTAGCAACATGTGGCAGCTTCCACACCAGTCCACCGTAACAATGAACATGGTACAGAGCCTACAAGATCCAGTACAGATACGAAAAAGTCTATGGACATTAATCAACAAGTTTAGTTTAATGAACAATTTTTGCGATAAAATTGATTCCGCTTTGAGAATTTTTGCGGAAAACTTCAAATATTTCAAAGCGAAATGCAACATTTTTTAAGCATCTTCGTGTATTTAGATAAATTTCCTAATAGTATATTAATAATTATTTTATTTTATTAAATATTTTAACCTAAATATACAGTGTGTTGATTTGCATTCTCGCCACATTTAAGAAATTAATAATAGAAATAAAACTAAATCATCTAAAAACATAAAAAGTAAAGTTTTGCAAAATGTCTCAAGTCGTATGCACCACGCAAGGGCAGTGACCCGGCACCCGCTTCACCGAGGGATACGTAATCTTTCTCGATCGCTTAGATTACCTATTTTTTTAACCCTTTGAGGACTACGGGGACACCCGTGTCCCCGTAAAAATATATAAAATATCTCTGAAACTAATAAAACAGTAGGTGTAATTTTGACGTTAACTAGTTTCTGAACGTATCTTTTTATTATTTTTTCATAGCAACACAGCATGTAAAGTATCAGTCTTTGTCTATGGTCATTTCAAATTGTCAATTTGTTTCGCGCGGATTTCTTATATTTTGAAAAAGTATTTTGAGTGCAATAGTCGTCGACAAGTTATTATATAGAAAATATTTACTGCCTGGTAAGTACTTTCTTATTTTATTTAATAATAAAATTAAAATTTTATATTGTTAGCTTCGATTTGTTGTCATAAACGTAAAGGGACACCAGTGTCCCTGTGGTCCGTAAGGGTATTTATCCACTTCAATATTGCTGTTGTGTTTTTTTTACTTTTACCCTCATTTCTTATATTTATGTTTACAGATTATGTATCGTAGAGGACGTGCGATTTTCGAACTCAAGGAAAATGAAATCCAGCAGATTTTGATGGGTGATAATAGTGACGATGAAAACAATTTATTGCTTGACGAAGAAGATGAAAGGCTACTGACACAGGATGATGACCAAGGGGTATCCGAAGTTGAGATAGAAGATTCGACACATCAACTTCAAGAATCCAGGATATCATCACCCGAACCTTCAACTTCTGCGGTAGAACTTGTGAACGAACAACTTACCCTTCAGCAACCAGTTTTCAAGTGGACCCAGAGAACATACGTTCCGAATGTATTTGAAAGTGTTGAATATGAATTCGGAAAGGTGCAAATCTGTCAAGATGTGGAAAACAATACGTTGACTCCTTTTGAAATATTCCTTTCAACTACAAAATTCGATATATTAGTACAGTTGATAGTATCAGAGTCAATGCGATACGCTCATCAAAACGGACGAGAATTTTCCGTTGAAATAGATGAAATGAAAGCATTTCTCGGTTTGAATTTAGTAATGGGATATCATACTTTACCATCGTTGAGAGATTACTGGTCTACAGAACCTGACATGGCAGTACCTTTCGTAGCAAATGTTATGCCTAGGGCTCGTTTCGAGGAATTACGTAAAAATCTACATTTTTGTAATAACGAAAAAGTACGAGACCCTTCCAGTCCCAATTTTGACCGAGCCTACAAAATAAGACCTGTAATTCAACATCTAAACGAGTCATTCCAAAATGCCCTCAACAATACCAAAGAACAATCAATAGATGAACATATGATAAAGTTTAAAGGGCATAATGTAATGAAACAATACATAAAAAACAAGCCAGTCAAATGGGGCTTCAAGCTATGGTGCCGATGCGATTCGGCAACCGGATACCTATTCGAATTCGATTTATATACCGGTAAGCGTACAACTGGTATTGAGTATGGGTTAGGCGAATCGGTTGTACTTCAACTTACAGAAAAATTGAAGGGTTTGGGTTGTGAAATATATATTGACAACTTTTTCAATTCGCCATTGTTGCAATATAAATTGATATCTCAGAATACGAAGTCATGTGGGACTGTTCGAACTAACCGAAAAAATCTTCCTAAAACTGCACCTATTGACAAAAACATGAAGCGCGGAGATATGTATTCTACAAGTTTTCAAGGCATAAGTTACGTCAAGTGGATGGACAACAAAGGAGTACATTTACTCACAAACTTTCTATCGCCTATCGAAACAGACATTGTAAAACGCCGTCAAGCTGGTTCAGCAGAGAAAATTGAAGTAAAATGCCCTCGGATCGTGTCTTTTTATAATAAAAACATGGGTGGAGTTGACCTTATGGATCAACGTAAGGTGTGCTATGAGCTAGATCGAAGATCCAAAATAAAATATTATTTACGACTGTTCTTTGACTTGTTTGATATATCTGTGAATAATGCATTTACTATATACACGAAGCTTCATAATGAAAAAAAAATGGAAGGTAGTTTGTTGACCAGCTTACAGTTCAGACAAGTAATAGCTCGGAGTTTAGTCAATAGTTTTACAGCCAGACAACGAGATGCTCCTAGTTCAAAAACTAGTATGGTACGAAGAGCTATAAAACGGCAAATGACTTCACATCCTATGGAAAAAGTGAATAACAGAAAACGGTGTGTAAATTGTGCTAAGTACAAGCGAGAAAGTCGCACAAATAATACATGTACTGTATGCAAAGTTCATCTCTGTTACACCAATGACAGAAATTGTTTCGATGAATATCATAAATAAAATAAAACAAAAATATAACTCTAGCATTAAAATATTATAATTTAATTAATAAAAATATATAAATATGTTGTTTGTTTTTATAAAACTCGTAAATTACGAATAAATGTAAGACACGTAATTACACGCTAATTAAGTAAAAACTCAGCCCTTGACGTCCATAGGGACAAATATGTCCCAAAAAATAACTGAAAATCTATTATTATTATTATTATTTTCATTCTTAAATACGTTTATTACATGCCTAATGAGTCATCTTAAACAATCAGAATGATTACTTTACCTCCTATAACGTTATGGTCCTGAAAGGGTTAATTATGATTATGTACTAGTATCGTATAATTTACTATTTATTTATATTAATTAGAAAAGTTGACTGAAAAAAGAATGCAAATCAACCCATTGTATAATAATATAAAAATTTAGATAGTTTCGTTATCATATTATTATTATAATATAATAATAACTATTAATTTATTTTTCTCCTTTGTCCACTGTTGTCCAATAGTCAAATTCCTCCACCTATCCGTTTTTTTTTTGTAAATCCGTATCCTAAATTTCATAACTTACAAGAAATTAATTGTTTTTCAAAAAATCAAGTTAACCATTCCAACTCAAAGCTGACCGCGAAAAGCCAAAAAAAGAAAAAAATAAATTTAAGACGTTTGTCATTTTGACATTTCTACAAAATGTACATGTAGTTTACTTCTATTCTCGTAGAAAAATCAAGAGTTTTTATCCAAACTATTGAAAAAAATCCCGTAAAAAATGCCTGTACCAGGTGGTATGTACCAAAGTCAAGGGCCTACATGTTTCGATAAAATGAAAATGGGCTTTATGATAGGATTTTGTGTGGGAATGGCTAGCGGAGGTCTCTTCGGTGGTTTCACTGCTTTGAGGTTAGTCTAGAGAGTTGTTTTTATAAAACCATGGATCTTCCACATAATCGGCCACGTTAGGCAGTTCAATTTACGGGTAAAGGTATTTAGATGAGCTGGTGTAATGTTTGTTTCAGATATGGCGCAAGAGGTCGAGAATTAGTGCACTCTGTGGGGAAAGTAATGCTCCAGGGCGGAGGAACCTTTGGCACCTTTATGGCTATTGGAACTGGAATACGTTGCTAGAGAAGCTGCCACCTCAAATGTTCATGCTCATTTTGTATATAGTTTAAATGATCTTAGAGTAATATTGTTTTTTGCTATTAATTAAAAGTGTTGAAAACAATAGTAATGTTATTGTAGACCTAACTTCGTTTACAGTTCACAGTTATGAATATGAGGAACTTAAGGTTTAAGAATGGCTAGATTTAGTAATGGAATTAAATTCTTGTTGAATGCTTAAGTAATCAACATTACTATTAAGTAATCATAATTATGTAATAAATTATAAGACCAAACTGTGTTTGATGGATCAAAATGGTTATTCTCACCTTCCTTTGCTAAGCCTGTGACTCCATCTAGGGGTGCAGTGTTGGCATTTGCATTCTTGATGTCATTCCCGAATGACAAATGTTTAATAATGTGTGTGGTGTTAAATACTGATGATGAGAAGGGCTGTACGTCATGGACATGGACATGATTTATTGTGAAACTTTTCCCTGGAGCAATGTGAAAACTTCCACCAACCTAAAATGAGGATTTGTAATAATATTACGTATTTTACAATTTTTAGGTCCAGAAACAGTTCACCAACATGAATAGCCACTTAACTATTTTTAACCCTTTCTCAGCAAATCTTTTTTGGTCGTCCATAAGAACCGGTATTAGGTCATGGATCCGCGCATACCGTAGCAGAAGAATTAATTAATTATGCATACTTGGCCACAATTTTACGTATTGTAATTATATATAAAGAAAAGGTACGAAAGTTTATTATGTGTCTATCTGTAGGTAGGCTTAGTTTAGGAAGTAACTAATCTTTAGTGTTTTTACAAGAATGGGAGAAACAATTTACCCGGTTTACTTCCATATGTCCATAGATCTGACAACCTTCATTTACAATATTAGGCTTTGTAATAATATTACGTATTTTACAATTTTTAGGTCCAGAAACAGCCCACCAGCATGAAAGCCACTTTTAACTATTTTTAACCCTTTCTCAGCAAACCTTTTTTGGTTGTCCATAAGAACCGGTATTAGGTCACGGATCCGCGCACACCGTAGCAGAAGAAATTAATTATGCATACTTGGCCACAATCTCATCTGATGTAATTATATATAAAGAAAAGGTATGAAAGTTTATTATGTGTCTATCTGTAGGTAGGCTTAGCTTAGGAAGTAACTAATCTTTAGTGTTTTTACAAGAATGGGAGAAACAATTTACCCGATTTACTTCCATATGTCCATAGATCTGACAACCTTCTTTTAGTGCCTGTTTCACTCTTTCTAAAGATTCATCATCTTTACACTGCTCTATAGTTTCCAGGTCTGGTAGAGCCCACCTTCTTATTCTATATGCTTCTTTTACATCGTCACATGTATTACAACAACTGAAAATTAAAATAACTTTTACACACTCTACAAATACTTCGCAAATCTATCAAAGAAGAAGTAAAGAACTACAGTAAAAAATATAAAGCGCGATTCCTTATCCACAAGAACAAATTGGCAAGATACCTGTTGCATTCATAAAACCTAACGTGGTTGAAATGATGGCTCATCTTAAACCTGGATCAATGAATGTGAGCATCACTACAAACCATGACAGGGCATGATGCTTGCAGGAGCAACTCCCTCCATCCATTAAGAAAACCCATCCGATTGATTATGACTTTACAAGCTGATGGCAGATCGACAAGAAAAAGAAAACTGCCCTCCTTGTCATAACTAACGCATTTGCGTTTAGGTAACTTTTGAGATATTGGCCCCAGTAGGGCTAGCACGACAGGGTGCGACTTGCGCGAGAGCGACATAGAGCGCGATATAGTACTATTCTACCTTCGCGATCTCCTTTGATTTACTAGTAAAAGATGACAGTTACACTGATTTTGCTTAACAACGAAACTTGAAACTAAATATCGATGGGGCCATAACATTCAAAAGAAGAAGATACAAAAAACCTTAAGAGGGGATTGTAGATCTCATGTTAGTTATGATAAGGAGGGAAGAATTATTTTAAGTGTACAATGTGTATACCAATGTATAAAATTAATAAATAATAAGTAATAAAAAATAATGTATAAATAATAAGTATATTTTAGCTTCAAGGAGTTGTTCAAAAAGAAAACATTTAGAGTGCAGGAAATTCCAATTATAAAAACATTGTAAAATGCAATTATGTACTTTAATTTAGACATTTACAATAATAATCTTGTGGTTAAGGCGCCGCTCAAGAGTGTCTAAAGTTGTAAATGGAAAAAAATTTAATTATAAAAGTAATATCTTACTGAGAATCATTGAATGATGCACCATAACAGCTGCCACATGTTATTGTTGCTATTCCAGTGTCATTTTTTTTCTCCTGAAATAATTATTTTATAATTCTATTGCCAAAATGTACTAGTCTAATGTTAATTGTTGTCTAGTCCATTATACCTGTTTTCCTCATAAGTATTGTTGTTATTATTTTATAAATTTAAAGTCTCTATGGGAAAGAAAATATGGTGGCATTAATATGGCTCAGTCCCACCATCTGTTTCCACTAATTATTTGTCCAATATTTGACAGATCGACTCATACGAAGAATGAGTCCTATGTGATTATATAGCGAAAAGAGAATAAGTACATTACGAGAATAATTTAGTTATTCAAACTAAGGCCTATGAAAAGGTGTTTTGAGAATTTATATACGTTATTTCATTTCAGAAATATAAAATCGAACAACGGTCGATCTGACATCCACAGTGAAGAAGGAATGAACGAAAGGTACTTTGTCCTGAGAACAAGTAGTCTTGCACATAGATCTTTGTTCTACGGATGAGTCGAGATACTAAAGATTTGTTTACATGTAAACAATGGTGTAAATGCAAGGATTGGAAAAACGATATCAACATCACTGGGTTCTTGTTGTCTTTAAGTAGTTGGCCATAAAGATTTATTGAAGTGCTATTCAGTCTAATAGTTACAGGGTTATTACTAACAGTATATAACATCTGGATCATTGCCATAAAGTTGCATACATACATACATTACATATTATAATAATTATATAGAAATGAGACATTCCTCAAGACTACCTGGCCCATTAACTCAAACAGAAAATATACATGCTAAATAAGACTCAGATTTTTAAGTTTTAGTCATCCAACAATGCTTCTTGTGTGTGTACAATTGACTAAACAATATTGTTAATATTGCTGTAAAAATAGTATTTATTACACAATAAGCACTGACCATCACAGTTTTAGCAGTGGCAATTTCTTCTTTCTTTGGTTCGGCTATAGGATTACCATTCAGGTCAAGCCGTATCTTGTGTATGCTGTGGTCTATCTGTAAATGCTGTTCTCCAGATGAATCCATGGCATCTAGTACCAAATCTGGGAGAATAATGTTATTACAATTTGCTGTTATATGCTCATGCTTTAGTAAATTCACAATCAATATATAACTGCTATAATTTGCAGTTATTTGATGTGATATTTGATATAACTTATTAAATTAAAATTGTGATAGCTTACAGATTCAACTGTTTACAAACAAAACAAAAAATTGTAACCTCAAGGACTGTGGTCAGAGCAATGAGGATATACTTACAGTTACAAGAAATAGTCGGCACAATAATATCTATATTTATACGTAATTTGTGCCCTCTTGACGTGTCCACAAACAATTCTTCTGATATGTTTGGCGACATGTAAGTGTGGAGCTCTGATAGGAACAATAGGACCATGACAATCGCACCCACAATCGTCACTGCAATGATAAGAACATTAACAACCTACGAAAAACAAATTAATGATGTTTTGAATGTAAAAACTGAAATTACCAGCTGCACCGGTGGCAGTCTTTATCCTAAAATCTTCTAAAGTTTTAGCATATGCATCGAGTTGTTTAAATTTATCTATAAGTTGGGAAGACATGTTTAAGAAGTATATTTCATGAACGTAAGTAGTAAACCGGGAAGTTAGTTAACAAACGCCAGTCGATTATTCCCGCACCAAGCTTTAAGCACTTAAATTTTGTTTTCCTGTCAGGCAGATTTAACACATGTGTGACCTATACCTATAGGTACTATTAACGCAGGCCTGTGACACTTATAGTTCCAATGCATTCGCGTAGCGCTAGTGTCGCTTTGCCTTCGCCGCCATATTCTATATCGCCATCTTGAAATGCCAGTCTGTCACTGTCAGCCTAATCGGTGTGTCTGTGTTGTGGATTGCTGTTACTTGTTACAAGTTGGTTGTTTTGAATTTGTGATTGAACGCTTGATAATTTGGAAATTATTTGTGTATTCCTCGCTTTCGAGCTTGAGTTGAGTACCAAAATACCTCATCTGACCATCAATTGCATACAAACTATCAACGGCATGGCATCACGTAAATGTTGTTGGAGGTTGTGATTCAACAAGTGAAACTCATCGTCTTTTTAATATACCTAAGAACGATAGACATAGATAGAATTCTCGTGAATTGTGGCTATCTTTCTTAATTCCCACAAACGTGGAGCTCAGTGGCTTGAGTAAAGAACAATTAGTAAACAAATTTGTTTGCCAAAATCATTTCGACCGCCATCAATTCGATGGTACTGGAAACCGCATCCAGCATGGCTATCCGATCTTGTTTTCTCGAAAAGAAATATCACATGGCATTGTCCTGAGCGCGAGTGGTAAGTAAATCATATTTATTGTATATCATTCAATTTCCTATTAACAACTACAGTTCATTTCCCCAGATCTTTTTACTAGAGCAAACCCACAGATATAGTCGTCTGGTATTTATTATGTAGAATTGAACTAGTTTATGCAATGTCAGATCCAACCACAGATACACCCTTATCTCCACTGGTTATCGTAGAGACATTGTTGTAGGGTTATGCTTGCAATAGGGTTGTGCCTGCCTTAACAATTCTAATAACTAATGATTTCAGGTGCAGACCATTTGTTTGAACACAATTACTACAAGCAAATTGTCCCTGAAGATTCCACTGAAGAAACAGTTGCAAATGTCAATGAAGGTTGGTAATGTAATTATGGAAGAATCTTTTTAAAACTCACATTGAAATGAGACCACTTTTTATATATTTTCTTTTGTTTTTTTTTTTTTAAATTTAATATCTTTATAAAATAAAAGAATCATTTTTACTTTTATTTTCCAGGAGATCACACATATGCCAAATCGTATCAATTGCAAGTTCCAAAACCAATGGAAATTGCTTCTGAAAACATTGCCGCAGCAATAACATCAGTGTCAATAGGTAATACCACTTAATCTACAACCATAATGTAACGACAAGTGAGCCAAGCAGTTAGTGATCAAGAGTGCTACGCTAGAAGTTTGAATAACGCTAGCGGCAAACGTTAGTACTTGAGTCATGGATGTATTGTTAGTATGTTTATGTACATATATCTGTTGTCTAGTTCTCATAGTATAAGCATTTTGTAGTGTAGTTGTGACTTCGCAGTGTGTGAATTCTGTACAAAGTTAGTTAGTTTTCTGTACAAAGGTAAAGTTAATTGGAACAAACTAATTAATCTAGAGAACAAGTACTACAGCAGAATGTGTATTAATTTCAGATGCTGCAACAATTGTACATGAACCTACAATGAAACCAGACAAAATACTTCATGTAAAGAAAATTAGTAAGTTATAACAATATTTTTTTTCATAATACGGAGTGACAGGACGAACAAGTCGTGCGCCTGATGGTAAGCAACACGCCTGTCCATACCAGTTGCGGTGCCACTATATTACTACTGATACACTGTGGTTTCGCCATGTCTTAAGATAAAAAAGTGTGTTAAATATTTTAAAATCTTGCTTGCAGCTAAGAAATTCATCAAACCTACCTTGAAGTCCACCTGCTTCATAAAGAAGATGAATAAAACTGCAATGACCATACAAAAAAAACCTTTCAGTGAAAGATTAGATAAGGCACAGACATTTATTCAGGATCCTGCATTTATGAACAATTTTAACAGAATGGGGAAATTAGCTCAGGATTTTCTTATGATGCAGTTGAAAGCTGTACATAAGAAAAAACAGGCAATGAGATTCACTAATGATGAAAAATTGCTCTCTTTATCACTTATGAAAGAAAGTCCAAAAGGATACAGACTCTTGCAAAAAATATTTAAATTGCCAGCAAAACGTACACTTAATCGCTTGGCTGAAAAAATTACTTTCGATGTGGGAATTAATGATAACATTTTCAAACTCCTCAAAAGAAAATCAACAAAGTGGGACACCAAAAAGAAACTTTGTTCAATTGTTTTTGACGAGGTAGCTCTTACACCTCATTTGACATTATGTTGAATCAAAAGATGATATTAAAGGGTTCAAAGACATGGGAGTTCAAAAACAAATGAAGTTCTCGGATCATGCTCTTGTCTTCATGGTAAGAGGATTGTGTTCCAATTGGAAACAACCCATTTGTTATTACTTTTGTGAAGGCACAACTTCTGCTCCTGAAGTGAAAAGGATTGTGGCAGAAGTAGTTACAAAGGTGTCACAGTCAGGCCTTATTCCATTGGCATTAGTATGTGACCAAGGCACAACTTTCAGAAGTGCAATAAAAATGTTAAGGCAAGAGACTGAGAGAAAGAGAAACTTCAAAGGTGAACATGTACAAATAGGTTAGTAATGATGTTTTTAACATTGCTTTTCAAGAGCAATTTATTTTCTATAAAACACATTTTTTAAACATACTTTTCTTGATTTTGTAATCTTAGATTCATGTGCATAAAAATCATAAAATTTGTCTATTCATGGAATGACAATGTACTGTCAGTAAGAGCCAAGCTTAATCAGTTTTAATATAATTTTGTTTGAAGACTGAGATCGCAGCTGGCCCTTCCTATTACTACGTAGACCTTTTGTTTTGTTACAACCTTTTGTTTAAATTACTGCATAGCAATAGCCAAGCTACAATAGTAAGCTGTTTGAGCACAATGTTGCCTGCACTCCAAGTCAACCCTAAGCTAATTGCTGACAGCACATAATAAAATATTTACTAAGATTTCTTTATGGTTGCAGATGGAACAATTGAAATTGCTGACCAAAAATTAAGTGTGGTGTATGACCCACCACACTTGCTAAAAGGGTTAAGAAACAATTTTTTGACTAAAAACATGATTTTCAATGGAAAAATCGCAACATGGGATGACATTTTAACTGTATATAGAGCTGATTGTCAGCTTGGTCACACAAGAATGCACAAAAAGTTGACAGATCATCATGTCATAGCTTCTAAAATAAAGAAAATGAGAGTGAGTGTAGCTGCTCAAGTTTTAAGTGCACAAACCAGTGCTATGCTAAAATATACATCATTATTCAGTAAGTTTCGTACATTTACAATTTATTGTGATCATTTTATTATTGAACAAAAAATTAAATAATAATAATAATAATATATTTTTATATATTATAGCCATATTTTTGCTTCAGGAACCACTGTGAATGGTGAATTAGTCAGTGAAACAATGAGGACAACTGGTGAAGCAGTGCAATTCATGGATTCATTGTTTGACAGTGTCAATGGTTCCCGAAGGAGCTCAAAAAAAGGAAAATTAAGAGGGCCAATCAAACCAAATTCCGAACATTTTGGCTTTTGGCGAGAAGCCATTAAAATTTTAAAAAACGTTAGGTATGTTGTTTCAGTCAGCAAAAAAGCAATAACGAATAAAAAAACATATTATGTACGTGTTCCTTCCCTTGATGGTTGGATAATAACTTTAGAAAGTTTTGAAAGGATAGCCAACTTGCTGTTTAATGTTTATAAACTAAAATATTTTTATCCAAGGTTGATCAACCAAGACCCTTTGGAGAATTTTTTTGGCAGGGTCAGGGCTATGAATTACAGAAATGTAAACCCTGATTCATATACATTTGTGAATTCTTTTAAATCGCTATTAATATCCAATGTAATGGGTCCTCATTCCCTGTATTCAAATTGTGAAGAAGACAACGGTGACACTGTAGTGGACTTTATTAACTTATTAAAAGTAGATTCATCAAACGATAAAGAAAATGTTAGTCCTACAGACTTAAACTCTATGCCTGCTACTTTTTCTTCGTTGTCGGCGTCGCATGCAGCCAATGCAACAATTGATGCAATTAATGAGAGAGTTAGTGTTCATTCGTCTGCTTACACAGCTGGATATGTTTGCAGACGACTCTCAATTAAATTAAAGTGTAAAAATTGTCAGCGTACTTACACAGCCAATGAAAAAGAAAATTTCCATGAATGGATAGTACAAAGGGAATATAAAAAACTGAAAAACAGTAACTTGGCTTATCCCGCAAAGGCTTTTCTTATATTGTATAGGGATATTTCCGCCTTTATTCACAGCACTTTAAACAAATGTGCTCATATTAAAGGTATAGGAACACATATTAAGAAAGGGATTTTGTCACTATTCGATTTTTGCTGGCTGGGTTGCACTAAACACAAAAAAGTATTAATTGATTATTGTATAAGACTCATACTAAGAGTGCACATTCATAACTGGTGTAATACAATAAATAAAATTTTAAGAGGAGACATTGAAGAGAAATATGTAATGAAAATGCATGACCCCCAAATAATGGCATATAATAAATATAAATTACATAGGTTAAGAAATAGAAATAAATAAATATAAACAATGAACTCTGTTTTATTATGTGTACATACCCATTTCAACACCAAATAAATTGAACCTAAAATCCTGAACTTTTTTTTTCCTAATGGTACATCACTAGTCACAAGGAAATCGATAACAGTCTCATCACTTTAGCGATGTTAGCGCTACGCGCATACACCGGAACTAAAAGGCAAGTTCTTTACTGTCCCATCTGTCCCTGACTAGTATATAGTAATCTGTGTATTAACGTATGTATACACCAATTGTCAATGTCACACGTGAAGTGGGTATCTTATTTGTGCGCTCGTTTACTCATCGTTCGCTCATCTGTGGGTGTACTGTTGGTAATTTTTCGAAAAATTTTAAATAGTGGAAATTGGAAAAATATAATTTGGAAGGCTCATAATAATATTATGTTCTACGTTTAGAAATATATTTTGAAAATTTATTTAGCGTCCATTGTAAAATAAACTTGTGTATCTACTAAAAACCATATAAAAAAATGAAATTTAAAATGATTTCACACCAGTGAAAAAATCTCCAACAACTACACCGCCACCATTTGTTGTTGACTCCATCATTCTCGTTTAGTATCTTCCAACTTTTACAAGTGTCAACGTCAATAAATGTGGAAAATAAAGGAAAAATATCCGGAAAAAATATTTATTATTCAGAAAAACTATGATTCAAAAAATAAAATGGAAATTTTTCCATGACTCACTATTTGGTGGGTGCAGAGATAGGCAGTGAAATAGATTAAAACGCAATCAACCCGCCTGAGTTTTGACCGGGTTTTTATCCAAGCCCAAAATCGTGAGCAAAACCGGCAAATACGGAATTTGGTATAATTAATTTTATTACAAATTTCGATATAAAAAAATAGAGGCAACTCCACACAATACCACCTTACAATTAATTATATGGATTCCCATTGTTAAGGACGCATGCACATTAGGGGTCGTATTCCAGAACTCTACTCAATGCTCTAATCAGGACTTGAGTACGATTTAAAGCACTAGAAATCATAATTGAGTATGGTTTCAAGCACTGGAAACACGACCCTAATGGCAAGGACTTGAGTATGATTATCAGTGCTCACTGCAATACTCAAGTCCTGACCCATAGGGTCGTATTCTAGAACTCTACTCAATGCTTAAGTCAGTTGGGTATGGTTTAAAGCACTCTGTAATAAATAATATCATTCAATTTAAACAAAACTCGATTTACAACATTACTTGTAAATAGTTGTTGCCCTATTTTGGGGTTTAATGGGTTTTAACCCGATTTAAACCCGACGTTAACAAAGCTCCGGGTTAAAATCCGAGTGCTTGCCCATCTCTGGGTGGGTGGGTGCCTTGTTTGTAAAATTGTTTATTTATTTAATTAGTAAGGCTTACCAACGAAATACATACAGATACGTTTAATATGTATAAAAACGAAACATTTGAAAGTAGTACTATGTATGCGTATGAATTAAAGGTATGCACTGCATTACATAAAGGTAATGTTTTGGATGCACGAGAGTATGACCAGTCTATCTATAACAAGAACCTACATATATAACAAGATCAATTCAAAATTTACATTCAACAATTTGTGTACCTACAAATAGCAAGAACAGATAAAATTAAGCAAAAATTATGTATGCAACGAATTTAATCGAGCATTGTAATGGAGTGCCTTGGGGTGTGAGAGAACCTGAGCAAATAAAAATGTATACTAAATTGTGCAATGATAACCTAAGTTAAGTAATAGACTGTCCATTTGAATTAAGTAATTGTACTGACTCTATATGTAATAATTTAATCCATCGACATGTTATTAATAATAATAATAAAAGTTTTTATTATCTCTTTACAAAGGTTATAAAGTATTAAAACTATTTACATGAAGTGCCTAAATATTTAGATAACTTTTTTGAGAGACTGGAGTCCATACTAGGAATTAAACTGTGTGACGGATCTCTAGGCTCTCACCAATCCGGATAATTATGATATTTAGAAAGGCAGCATTACAATGTAAATATGTTACAAATGGACAGTCTTTGTCTATGTGTGGTGTCGGTTGTAGTGGTCAGGAGGTCAATGTCCGTTTTTTGGCAGAAGATGTTAATCAAATTATAAAATCTACATCGCGAGGCAAGTCTCCTGGTCACGATGACCTTAGCATTGAGCACCTGAAATATGCAGATTGCCATTTGCCCAGGGTGTTGGCAGTGTTTTTCACTATGTGTGTGGGACATTCCTACCTACCTGCTCAGATGACGAGGACTGTAGTGGTGCCGATAGTTAAGAACAAGAACGGTGACATTAGTGACAAAATTAATTATCGACCCATCTCATTGGCCACAGTAGTTGCAAAAGTACTTGATTGTTTGCTTAACAATGAGCTGAATATAACCAATTTGGTTTCAAGTCTGGACTCTCCATAGAAACAACCGTGTTGTGTTTAAAGCAAACTGTCAAGTACTATACCAGGGGTTCCCAAACTTATTTTGTCTACTGCCCACTTTGAGAAGAAATTATTTTTTAGCGCCCCCATTTTTTCACCTACTTAAAAACCACTATAATTTCAAATTAAATTAATTATTGTGAGCTATATTAGCGGAGATTAAACATTCATTCTAAACGAGACATTTACTATAACCCGCAAGAGTTAACTTGAGACCTGAGCGCAGTAGGTAGTACACAACGGCGGTCAGGTCTCAAGTTAACTCTTACGGGCTACACCTGCCAATGAGAATGATTATTGAAACGCAACTTTATAGTATTCAGACAGAGTATCTTTTATTCAAAATAAAACAAACATAATCGATTCTAATATAAAAACTAATGTGAAGGATGAATCTGATGCTGTTTAATAAGTTTGTTGATATCAGGTTCCAATTTACTCAAGAACAAGTCACGACGTTCGGTAACATGCAAACGATTTCTCTTTTTAGTAAGTAGCGTTGTCTCAGCACTAAAACCACGTTCACACAAATATGACGATGGGAATGCTATCAAGAATCGTTGAACGTTTGACCACAATCCAGGGTACAATTGCGGGATCGGTTTTTGTAGCCAAAATTCTTGGTAGCCATTTTTGAACTTGATTTTTATTTCCTCGTTCGTTGTCAATTCTATAAGTTCTTCTTCCAGCTGAGGTGATATTGCTGTGTTGTCATTTGAAAACGGATCCAACACCCAGTCTGGTATTTTCAAGTTCAAAATGTCCTGGTATCGTTCGGTGAAGTCAATGTGGAGGTTTTCCAAATGTTGGCAGTAGGCAAACAAGTCGTCGTTACTGCAGGATACTGATGAATTCGGAAAATTGTGAAACTCACGTCTACCCGTATTCTTTTTGTGTAGAAGCAGTTTGGCTGCGAAAGTAGCAACGACATTTTTTGTTTTAATTAAATTTAGTTCATCGCATTGCAGTTGGAGATTCGTGTCGTTGAACAACTTATACAGGTCTGTCATGTGAGCTATATCATTCTTTGATGTATTGAGCTTGTTGCGCAATTCTGTATCTTTAGTTTCTAAGAACTCTATCACAGAGTCAAACAGGTTGTAAAATCGAGTCAAACAATTGCCTCTTGATAGCCAACGAACTTCAGTATGAAACAACAAACGGTTGAAATCTTCGTCATTAGTAACACAAAGCTGATGAAATAATCTATCATTCAAAGAGCGTAAGCCGTAAAAGCTTACGGATTTTATTGACTGCTTTGATGACATATTGCAGTGATTGAAATAGTCGTTCACTTAAATATCTAGAAACCAAATGTTGTCTATGAATAACGTAATGTACAGCTGGAATTTAATTTTTTAAGTACGCTCATAGCCGGAGGGCCATCCGTAGCAACTGATATAATATTATTCAAGGGAATCTCTTTCTCATCACAAAACTTTTCCAATGTATTCAATTCAATGTATCGCCTTTTGTATCGGTCTCTAAATTTCTAGCAAACAATAGTTCTTCACATATTTTCTCATCTTTAATAAACCTCACATAAGACAGCAACAATGCTTCATTAGTTGGTAAAGTGGACTCATCGGGCTGAATTGAGAATTGACTAGTCCTCAGATGATTGCACAATGATTCGTCAATGTTTTCAGCCATTTCATCAATTCGTCTTTGCGCAGAATTATTACTTAAAGGAATTTTTCGGATAATATCTGCGGCCGGTTTATGAAGCACAGTATTGATTACTTCCTTTATTGCCGCCAAAATTAACTCTTTTCCGATGTTGTGAGGTTTGCTTTTTGAGCAATTAACAAAGAGATATTGTACGAAGCTCGAAGTCCGTCGTCATCTTGCTTAGCAGCCGTCGAAAAGAGTTTTGCTACACTTGGCTGAGTATTATGCTTCTTCTTTAGGTCTTGAAAATATGCTACATTCCTACATTCGTGTCTTTCTTGTCTGGATGCGTTTTATTCAAATGATCTTGCAGTTTTGAAGGCTTCATTGCTTCATTCGAAAATATTTTTAGACATAGAAGGCACAAAGGCGACGATGGGTTAGTGGGATTTAATATATTCCGCACAGTATTGCCGTCTCTTCTTTTTTACTTCCGACATTGTTTTGTTTTGAGAATATGTAAGTAAGTGTTGAACTTAAGTACTGCTTATCTTTTACGCGCGAAACCGCAAATGAAAATAAAATAAATATTACGGTGTTTATATAGGATTGCATAAGCAGCACGCACCGACACAGGAATAAGACAAACATGCATAAACTCGTTTATCCCATTCGACGCTCAATCGTACTCAACAAGTAAGAACTAGTATTCTATGAACCAACCGATTGATACAGGAATGCACAAATCGGGCTATTTAACAAAAACTAGTTAACACATGATTGCCCGTGGTCTATTATCTACGAAAATTACCTATCTAGGAACACTAATAACTATTAAAATGCGAAACTATGTCTGTTGGCTTTTTATTTGTTTGTTTCTGTCTACTTTCATTTCGAAACTGAGCGACCGATTGTCATGATTTTTATTTTATTTATTCAATAAAACAGGACAGATATATGAACTACACGGAGAGAAATATCGAACCGAGTTAGTTTGAGCAATCTCTTAATCAATATTAGTTGATGTTCACAAGTTGTAGTCGAGAGTCGAGAGCTCAGTCGGTGTCTAAGAGTCTTTCTAGATGAAATTACAAATCTCCCCCCAAAGCCTCTACACAACGCCCC